TTTTTTATGCATACATTGATCAAGGTGAAAGCGCGTGCCGATCGGACGTCTATATCCTATAGCTCCCATAGGAACAATAGGGTGAAATCGGTCCAAATTTGATGATTATCAGAATATTTCGCGCAGAGTGTAAGCTACTAACATAAAATTTTCCAATTCTTATTTATTTACGCATATCTTGATTAGGGTAAAAGCGCTTGCCGCTCGGAAGTCTATATCTTAAAGGAGATAGGAAAAATTGTTAAAGGCTGCGAAAGTATCCCTTTTGTATATGACATTTTTGCAGTATAAAAGCAATTGACTTGAAACGATGCAAATCTAGTTTACTTATGTATACCTTATTCCTTTCGCTACTTTTTCACTTTTAGCAATTTCGTCAAAGTCTGCAAGGGTATTAAAACTTCGGCTTGCCGAAGTTAGCTTCCGTCCTCGTTATGACTTGAAATCGCTATTATCGGAAAATGTGGGGTTGGTTGTTCTCTTCAAGGTTAAAAACTTTTCAAGACGCATCTATTTTGGGGATGACATTTACCTATCATTTTATCAGGGACTAAAAAAGAAGTCAAGAACACTTAAAAAAAATGGAGTTTAAGTGTATTTAAATGCAAAATTAAATACTAATACAATACTATTTAAGACTTCTTAAAAATACAAAAAAATAACAAATCTTGTCATTTTTACCAGAAAATTGATAACTTAATATTAAATTAAATCTTTCGTCATTATATTTGTATTAATATGTGATTTGCTACACTACAATTAAATTGAATTACTAGACACTTCAATTTTATCAAGCTGTTGTGACATGTTCACTTTAATTAAATCAAATGCCACTGATCAAATGAATGTGATTTATTCCACACTAAAATGTTATCAAACGTTCACCATCCACTACAATTAATTTGGCTAATCGGTGTCTTTGGCTTTCCATTATGTAATAGATTAAAGTAAGTTATCTTCTGGAACGAGGTTCGCCCCATCCCCTTAGCTGTCAAACTGTGAACTACATTTCTAGTTTCGTTTCTTTTTTGTATTTATTATGCTGTGTCTACAATTTGGCAAAATTACAAACTAAACAGTAAAATCAGTAGTGTGTGTGTGTGTGACAGAATGAAGAAACAAGCAGTAAATATATATATATAGATTAGTGTGTTCAGATGCAAGATGAGTGTATGCACAGAAAACAAATTTCACTAATATTTTAACAATATATTTGATCGATTTTAAAAACGCAAGCCTCATAGTAAGTTTCAAAGTCACAAAATTGTAAAATTTAAAACATTCATTTCCCTCGGCTTCAGGAGCTCGTGGCCTACTTTCATAAATTACGCGGACACATAAAAAAAAGAAACACATTTGATAGGTTCTCTTTTTGGGGATCCTATGCTATAAAACATTGTAAATTTGATAAAAATCAAAAATAAACTTTTGACGTCCCAATTGCTATAAATGGCTTTATAGCTACTTGATAAGCTAAAGGATGTAAATATTATTTTTGACTCTATGGCTTTCGGTTATTTTGACATTCCAAAAAATATATTTTAAAAACGTGGTTTATATAATTTTAAAATAAGTTTATGTTCCTAAACAACAAATTGTTTTCTGTGCAAAAAACGAAAATTATATAGGGTATTTTTTATTTTGCTAGCGTATGGAAAAATGAGAATAAAATTCTTACCGCAAGTTGTTGTTGCCAGCTCGACGCTGGCTGCAGACGGGCGTCGCTGCTGACGCCGCTGCTTCTCCTCGGCTGCTGCGGTCGAAAAAAAAAGTTGGCAACTCTTGATGTTGGTTTTCAGTTGGTTTTAATTTTTGTTGGCTTCGGTTAACGCTTTTCACCGATTCTCTGCTTCTTGTTATATATTTTATGGTTTTTTTACGCTGCTTTGCTTTGGTTGCACTTTTAAACAAAAATTCCAAACATGAAAAAAAATTCGGAAAAAAAACATTTTACGGTTGGCTTCATTAACAATATTGTTTGTTGTTGTTGTTTTTTCTTAACACTTTCTCGCCCGTGAAAGGCAAATTATGGCAACATGGAGATAGATAGATTGGTAGAAAGAAAGAGCGAGGGGCACTAAGTAAATGAGTTTCCCTAGAATTTATTCGTTTACAATTTTGTGTTATTAAATTTGCTCTGTTTGCTGACTATTTAAAGGCCAGGCAAAACCTTAAACATGACCTGAAGCTACTCACGTTGTTAAATGTGTGCTTCCCTTAACCCTAGATAGACTAACTTCTTTGATTTCTATTTCATTTATTTCCCTCATTTTTCTTCATATTAAAAAAATAGCTTACAAATGGCGGTCTTCGGTATAGGGAAAGAAGTCAATGAGGGTACTAAATCTAGGTAAGTTAATCAGGAGGTTTGAGTATTTGCCAAGCAAGAAAATTGTCTTATAGCTACTTCATATTTAAATATGTTCAAGGAAACTGAGCGCAACTGTCACTGAAATCGGGGTTACCCTCAAGTATTGCTGTACAAAGCACAGTAAATTTATAGCCATATAAGACAATTTTTCATTCAACATTTAATGTCCCTATAAAAGCTCAGTATTCTTTTAACTGTTCGCAGAATTATTCAGTTTCATACTCTTTTAGCAAAAATCCCATTTTCTTTTTAGAGAGAATAGCAATATTTTAAAGCTGAAACTTCAAAATTTAAAAACACTTTTTGGTGTCTTTTTAAACTTTCCTGTTGAGGATGTTGCTAATTAGGACGCTACTGGATTCACTTAATCTCGTTTACATCATCGTCGTGCGACGGTAGCCAAGCACCGGGTATCGGGTATCGAGTACCGACTGCCGAGTACTGTTAGGCAGCTGCACTTAATGAGCCTGAACTTTCACACCGCTGCAGCAAAAGTGAAGCTATTATATACACTGAAAAAAAGAAGCTGGCTATCAAATCAAAATTAAATAGATACTTGAATATTTTCAAATCAGCAGAACTCCACACTTGTTCACGTACAAGTGTATAATTTATTACTTTAAAATTTTCCTTGAAATTTTGCAAATCATTATCATTGAGAGATTAGAATATCAATAATAATAATTAATATGTGGAAGTATATGGAGTTTCTAGAAACGAATCACATGAAAATTTAGGGGTCTCGTTTAAAATGATCTATGAAATCAATTTGATCATCTATCGTAATTTTTTTTCTTTATGCGAAGATTACGAAGTCACAGTTTCGGTTCGAATCCCTTCACTGCCCAATGCATTTTTGTAAAATTTAATCTAAAGACCTCATTATCCCTTTATATTACATGAAAATCACATAAATTGATCACCTATCGCAGGCGTGTTTCTTTCTGTGTAGCGCCGACGGCCTTGGCGGCTAATTACCGGCGACCGGTAATGCGGTCGCTGCGCCGTCGACGCTGCGTGGGCGTCGCAGTCGCGGTGATAGTAGCCTTAATCCCGCTCACACGGATTAAGTATTAAGTCGGTGATGCTGGAGGAAAGGGGAGGAGGGATTCAGGTGTGCGAGCGGATCGATAAATGGAAATCGCTACTGGCTCTCTTTTGCTCTTTCTTTCTTTTTTACTTTTTCGCCCTTCTTCTTCTCCTTTCTGTTTACACTTATTTACCATTCAGTTTTTGCTGTTTTTCCAATTTACACACACCAACAGACACGCACACACACATATACTATGAACAACCACTAAACCACCGTTAGTCCATCAGCATCCAAAGAAATTCGAATTGTCTCGACGTCTCTGCCGGCGTCGCTGTCGACGTCGGCGTTCCCATGTTGTTCTTGTGCTTGTACTTCTTGAACTGCTTTTCACATGGAATTTACACACGACTCTGTTTACGTTCTTGTGCCGCGATTTAAGTAGTAATACTTTTTCTTTCGGCTGTCATCACTTGTCTTTGGTTTTTTATCGTTTGTTTTATGCATAAATACTCGCTGCACAATATATTTTCGTTTGTTTTATTTATGCACCGTGCAATCTGCGGCTCCTTCTCGCTGTTGTTGTTGTTTCTTGCGGGAGAGACGCGCACGAAGCGTCGTCAATGGAAATGGAGAAAGGTAAAAAATAAAGAGAAAGCGTCCGCTCAGCCTCTCTCACGATGACCGCGCGCGGGGCGAGCTTTTTTGCAACTGACTTTTTGGGTTGAATTTCTTTCGTCTCGTCTCAATGGCAGCTTTTTGCGGCGGCAGCGACGCAGGCAGCACTGCCAGTGAGACCAAGTGCCGGCCAGCAGCGGAGGACCAGCGGTGAAAATACATTGTTTCCACTGGTAAATACATTGGCAAAACACGAAAAAATTAAAAGTTTTTTTAAAGTTTGAATGTATGAGGAAGGTGGGGATTCGTGAGACCTCGGAAATCTTGAGACTTATAATGTGACAACGGAAGCAGAAAACTGTGGCAAACCACCGCGAAAAATGCAACGAGTCCACTACTGAGAGAAGTGAAGGCTGGGCGCCAAATTCAAAACATCAAGAAAAAGGAAAATATCAAATTTATTGTCTATTCTTCAAACTATACTTGCGGTTTCAATTCTAGATGATCTCAAATAAAATAAATTAGTCTATTTCTTTATTTATTGCTTACTTTTCAAGAGCATTGTAAAAACTAAAACGGAAGGGCTTGTTTTGTTCTTGAAAAGGTTTAAAAAAAAACTATACAAAAAAAGCAAGGCCTCCACTAGAGTATATGTATATGTCTGTATATTTAAATTGGAGGAAAATTGTAATGTTTAAAACAAATTTTGTAATTTCTTTTTATCTATTATAATCTTCTTATGCCGTTTTGGCTCTAAAGTCTTATCCAAATCGGTTGTCTATATCGTATTTCTAGCATACCGGATGGACCTTCGTGTTTTATTCTATCTACAGCATTAAAAAATTGTAGGGATCGCTCATCAAGTAATTTCGCGACTCGGACTTCTATATCATATATCTTCATTGAACTAGCTACATTTCTCTGTTATAGAGGCGTGACTGTACCTAGTCATTCATTGCAATAAATACATAAATGGAAATATAAGTTTATATTACGCAGAATTTGGCGTTATTTACTAAACGAGCTTACTGAACTACTTATTGCTAGGACACAAGGATATCACACGTCTAGACATAGGGGTTCCAATTGCTGCCGTCCTCGGGGAGCAGATTGTTGGTGATCAGCAGGATGACGTCGATGATCCACCAGACACCCACGCCGCCCATGGTGAGCAGTTTGCCAACGGCGGTGCCCGTTTGTCCGAGACAGAAGCGATCCATTCCGAGGAAGCCAAGGAGCATGCTGTATATCAGGGTGGTTACGAAGTAATGATCCGTGTAGCGGACACAGGGCACTCCGTCGCGCAGGAAGGTGCGATCGCCAAAGCAATCGATGTCCGCGAACACGGTGCACACCACACTGGTGTGCTCCACATCCTCGTAGGTGGATCCACCGAACCTAAGGCAGCCGTGCTTCTTTTCATTCTGTGCGGTGACGTTTTCCCGGTGATCGATGGGATCCTTGCAGTCCAGAAAGTCACGAGGCAGGAATGAGCACATCACGTTCGGTCCCAGCGGGAAAAAGGCAGAGTTTGCAGCTCCGGCGCCGGAGGAGGATGACGCAGAGGATGAGGGTCCCATTCCGGAGCTAAGTTGTGCCTGCACCGGAACCACCGACTGCACCGCCGTGCCGGAAACCACCGTCTGCGGCTGCTCCTTGTCGCTGCGCGCCTGGATCGCCCGGGCGGAGGGGTTGGTGGCCACCAGGAACGCCAAAATCCCGTAGAAAATCCGCATCTTTGCGATTCGCTTGGTCAAAATATTGCCAACCAGTGTGGCCCCACCCTCGCAATGTTAACAGAGCTCTGTTATTCTTGATGACAAATAAGCACCTATCGATAGTTCGTTCGGTTCTCATGTTCGATTCTTGTACTAGTTCCCATCTATTAGAATCCAAAACAATGAATTATAGATAGTTATAATATCCAAACATTCGAAAATGAAAATTACACATATATTTAATTTTAATTTACTACAAATTGAAATTAACGGAAATTTAAGTTATGGATTTTGGGTCAATGATTAATCAAAATTGGCAACTTGCGGGCATTGCATTGAAATTCTTTTATATTTTTTTTGTTTTGCTCCCACGACGGCTGACTTAAAAAACAAATATTAATATATACTGAGTTTAATGTTCTAAGAATTTATTTACTTCCTCTTAATTCACGACCAATTACCGATCACGCGCTCATCTCTACCTTCGATAGGCGATGTATCCCTCGCATCGGTGTGCACACACTGGCGGCGTAATCAGCGGGCGCCAACCATTTTTTTTAGAACAGAACAAAAACAAGAGAAATTAGAGGCATAAAGAGCGTTCTCCGTCTGCTTTTCACGGGCAGTTCAAAAACAACGACGGAACAGTGAACCCACAACAACCGACGCGTCATTTCCCCACAATTTATTCAAGTGATATTTAATTTGTATTTTTGCTGTGTCAGCGTTGGGAATTTGAAGGAGAAAAAAGATGAAACTACTGCTCCTGGTGGCCACTGCGGTCTCCGTGGTGGCCCTGGCCTCCAGTGAGCCATCGTTGCTCTCGGATGAGTTCATCGAGGTGGTGCGCAGCAAGGCAAAAACCTGGCAGGTAAGCAAACCAACACCTACATATTCCTTTGTTGTTCCAGCTGACGTGACAGGAAAATTGCATTTTCCGTAATCTATTCACCAGGTGGGCCGTAATTTCGATGAATCCGTGACGGAGGAGCACATCCGTCGCCTGATGGGCGTCCATCCGGATGCAAATAAGTTCGCCCTGCCCGAAAAGCAAAAGGTTTTGGGTGAATTATATGCGGGAGCTGCAAGTGATATTCCGGAGGAGTTCGATTCAAGGAAGGCGTGGCCGAATTGCCCAACCATTGGTGAGATTCGCGACCAGGGATCCTGCGGCTCTTGCTGGGCCTTCGGTGCCGTGGAAGCCATGTCCGATCGGGTACGTACATACACATAGCTTATCTTATCGATTTTGTAGACCCACATATTCTCTTTGTTTAACCTGCTGATTTTTTACCGTTTTCGCAATGCATAGGTGTGCATCCATTCCGGCGGCAAGTTGAACTTCCACTTCTCGGCCGATGATCTGGTATCCTGCTGCCACACCTGCGGCTTTGGCTGCAACGGTGGCTTCCCCGGAGCCGCCTGGAGCTACTGGACGCGCAAGGGAATCGTAAGCGGAGGACCCTACGGATCCAACCAGGTTGGTGGCCTCCTCTTACTTTTTTCACCTTTATTCCTAGATCATAGAGCAGCATAACCATTCGTTTCTGACGTGAATCTTACAGGGAACAATTGCAACATCGTTTAGTTTTCCAATGTTTAAAAAAAACTGAATCTTTTTCTTTTCCAATTGAATTTGATTTTATTTGTATCACAAAATTGTTCATAGGTCTTTTTAAAAAATATTTTGTTGAGAGATTGCTACGTAAAAATGGTTTCAAAGCAATTTAATTATGTTCTTTGTTTACTAGAAGTTAGCAACGAAGTTTATGGCGCCATAAAGTAATTATATTTAGGAGATATCGCAAATACACAGGTTATGTTTTTCGGATGCACTCCATTCTGCAATTTTCTATTGTGACAAATATTTTGCCTTGATAAGTTATATTTCTTTATTCAGCAATACATGTCTATCTATATCTCTTAGGAAATTCCGTTGTTTATATATATGTCTAAGCTTTGACTTATCTCCCAGTTTAGCAACTATTGTTTTTGCATTCTATTAAATGCAGTAAGTAGAATGGCTGATAGCTGCAAATTTAAGAGGCATCGTCGAAAGAGACAGTACGTTTTTTTTTTTAAGATAAAGGCTTTGGAGCCTCTTTATAAATGCTACTAAATACATGAACTTAGTACGACTAGGTATATAGGGCTTCCATTACGCTGGCAAGAGCTTTAAATTTGAGTTTTTAGTTTGAAATACGGAATATCCACTTTAATTGGATGATTCATTGAATCTTTTTCGTTGCAGGGCTGCCGTCCATACGAGATTTCGCCCTGTGAGCACCACGTGAATGGAACCCGTCCACCATGCGCCCATGGCGGTGGAACGCCCAAGTGCCAGCACGTCTGCCAGAGCAGCTACACGGTGGATTATAAGAAGGACAAGCACTTCGGCACCAAGTCCTACTCGGTGAGCCGCAATGTGCGTGAAATCCAGACGGAGATCATGACCAATGGACCGGTTGAGGGGGCGTTCACCGTTTATGAGGATCTCATCCTGTACAAGGACGGCGTGTATCAGCACGCTCATGGCAAGGAGCTTGGCGGTCATGCCATCCGCATTTTGGGCTGGGGCGTTTGGGGCGAGGAGAAGATCCCGTACTGGCTCATTGGCAACTCGTGGAACGTCGACTGGGGCGATCATGGCTTCTTCCGCATCCTGCGTGGCGAGGATCACTGCGGCATCGAGAGCTCCATTTCGGCGGGTCTGCCCAAAGTCTAGATTTTAAAGTGTCCGTCTATATGCTGATATCAACCCTGTATTTTCCATTGCCCCCCTTTTTATTTCCATTCAAGCTCGCAAATGACGTTTGTAGTTAATGTAAACAACTAAACCTGATTGATAATAAAGTATTGTATATGACTATGGAATGGATCGTCGGCTTACTGAACTCTGTACAGTGCAACTTCTTTTAAAAGGAAGTTAATGCTCATAGAAAGTTAGGAGATAGATTGCAACACACTGAATTAAATTTTTATATTTTTGATTTATTAGATACAATAATTGGAGCTTTGATTAACGAGAAAGAAAATGTTTGGGTGAACTGTAATTATTGTTTTTTTAGGGGAACAAAAATGGAGTTTCTATTTAAAAAAAAACCCCTGAGTGTAATTTCACGGCAAAGCTAAAAATGTGTACTATTTGAGAAGTAATAATACTTAATTGTGATACATTTTAATCAACCATGTTGTCACCTAATTTCTGATCGTGATGGAGAAGTTCTACTGTGGTTTTTTATACTGCCTATGATAATCGCAACTATGTGAGCTGATCAATTCTCCGCTCTATACTATGTACATGAAATAAAATATAGATTAGCTGTCAATCATCCGAGGCCATTCTGTTTATCAGAATTAGGTTTTGCGAGCTGAAATAATTAACATCTCATTTGATTAATCAAACAATGAACACAATTTACTCATGTTCGTCATCTGGCACAATTTGGTTTTTTATTCAGAATAAAAAGTAGTTTTTTAACCACAAACCGGTTTGCTGGCCTTTCTTTCTCGCGATAACTTTTGAGAAATGATATTAAATCTGAGCTGCCCACAAATTCAATACAAAAACATGCCAGTCCCCTGGGATTTATTTCCACCCATTAATTAAATACACTAACCATTTTTTTACATAGCATGTTTTATTTATTTTTCTCATTTGCAACATCAAATAGAACATTTGTTTTTTTTTTATCTTTTCATGAACCGCTTTGTTTTCTGTGAAATTATTAACTGGTTTAGCCATATCATTCGCTGAAACTCGATCATTTTTTAACAAACAGCTTACATCGAAAAATATTTTGTTACTGCCATATGTCAATTTTTTTTTATTTTTGTTATTTGTCATAGTCCAATTTCAATCATTGGCTTAAAAATCTCTGGTTTTTGGGTAGGTATATATTATATGTGTATGTATATATATATTAATTTATATCGGGACAGCTATTTTATATTTTTTGGTTTGTCATTCTTGCTTCGCTTTATTTATGTAGGATTTTTGTAAATAGATTGCATTTGGCTTGCTCCGCGTTTTTTGTTCTTTTTTTGCTTGTAGATTTTGTTGTCAATAAATAATTTCATATTTTGTTCGCCTCGTTCTTTTTATAATTGTTTACAATCTGAATTCGTATTTGTTATTCCTGGACTTTTGCACTTAATAATTAAAATACATAACCATACGGACATATATTTACTTATGTACGTAACAATTGCATGTAGTATATTAAACCATTCCATTGTTTTTGGTTTTTGGTTTTTGTTCTTTGATTATACCCTCGGCATTAGTCATCATCATCCGGTGTTGGGGAGCTTTAGCTTATCATCTAAATGGTGGGTTCTCAAAATATCAATACAATTTTGCTAAACGCTTTATTGGCTTAGGGAGTTCTTATTCTGGTGAAAAATAGGGATGTTAGAAGTCGAATTATACAAATTGCAACTATATAAAAATAATACGTTCGGCACAAATCACCGATAAAATTTTAAAAGTGTAACCCACAATTAAAAGAAGTCTTCAAGGCAGAGAGATATTTATAAATGTGTTTAATAGAGTTGGAGTTAAAACATGTAAAATTCATGTGTGCACTCTTATTTGCAAAAAAAAAATAACGAATATATTAGGCAAAAAACAAAAGAAAATTTTCAATTTTTAAATAATAATATTAGCTGCAATTTGCTATATTAGAACTGTTTAACATTTTGATCTAAGTTTGAGAATGTTATTCAGGTACGAATAAATCTATCGCTTGAATAGGAAATCGGCATAAAAGAGAAGAACTTATAGAAAAGTTATGGCCGAAATGCCATTAATTTACCAGCTAATTAGACAGACATCAACCCTTCGACTCTATGAGTATCTGGTGTGTTATTCACTAGGACTTGCCTTTAACTTTTATACCTCATGCTTGAACCAACTTTCTACGTACTTACATAGGATAAACTCGTCATGGGTAGAGATTCATTTTACAATCTAGTAGATCTTCCATCAGTTTTTAGTTTAATACTCGCTACACAAAAATAATGGAGAGTTTGAAAGTCGACTTAAATGGAGAAGAGAGGAACGTAGAGCCGGACAATACTATGATCGGAACACTTTTGCAGTTAGTAAGCTTCAAAAGTCCTTAATGTAGTTGCGCTAGATAAATATACAGTATATATAGTCTAGGTCTATGTATCCTTACACACAATTACTCTGTTCTCTTTACAACTATTCTTTTAAACTCTTCAATTTGCATTTATATTTCAGTTTAGGAAGTATCTTACTCTCGTAACTCAACTACTCGATAGTTAACCAACTTTGGCTTAGGTTATCCTAATCAGATCGAACAGAATTCGAATATATACCGCTCTTTTAAGGTCCCTTTAGTACCTTCAATTCTTTGTTATCTGGTTTATATCTGCGATTTCTTGTGTTTACAAGTTGTGTGAGACTTTTTAGTTAACTTGTGTGGACAGCACATAACTGGGTTATGCAGAAATAGTGGTAGTAGTATATATACTATACTATATGGGTCACATTCTATGCCCGTTACAGCTTCAGGTCGCCTTGAGTTGTTTGTTTAGGTTTCTAACACGAGGAGTTTTCGGCTTGATCTCATCTCGAACTCAACTTTGGTTTCGGTTTTTAGTTTTGGTATCACAAAATCGGGTTTTACGTTTACACAATATCCAATAGTTTCTATACTTGTAACTTGAACTTCCCTCAACGTTTTTTTTTTCCAAATAACAATTTTAGTAGAGATAAATATATATATATATATATATTTTACTGTTTTCTTTTTTTTAAATTAACTTTTGGTAGCGAAAGACTATCACAATTATGGAGATTTTCAATTTCTGGGGCCAGGTAAGAGATTGTATTTGTATTCATATTTATGACGATTTTAGTTTCATGTTTCTTTTCTTTTCGTCAATTTTACACGCACGCACATATATTTATATATATTTTGTTGGTTTACGGAAGCCGTTAATTTATACTATTCGTAAGAGTTTGTAGTGGTTGTTGTTTGTCAAGAAATGCATTAAATTTGCCATTTGATTTTGAAACGCTTTCCCCGCTTTCCTCGCCTTGTCCTTGTCTTAAATTTTCATCTTTATTCATCGGGAGATCTTCGGTTTCATTAGTTTGTTCTTCAGTTGTTGCACTGCACTTGGTTTGTTGAACTTTGTTCGCTTGCATATGTTAAACGGTTCTATATTTTGAATATATCCTTGTATGTATATATCTTTCATAATTGTATTTAGTATATGGCTTGACGATCGGCTTTTGTTTCGTGTAGTTTTCAATGTTTTGTTGATGCTTTAAGTGGTTTGAAAAACCATCAAACAACAGGAGGAAACAGTCTTTCTTTCCAGGTACCTAATAAAAAACAAGTGACGGAAAATGTTGATTATACTACATTTAATTAAAAGAATTCGGGACAAAAACATGTGTACCATGGAAATCTCTATTAATGTTTTATCTTTTTTTTTTGTATTTGCAAGTTTTTTTTAAACCTTTTTTAAGATGATTTCAAAACACTAGAGATTTCTGTGGCACCGAAGTTAAGTTACTTAGATTTTATTCTATCTATTTGTTCTATTTCCGTTGAATTCAGTACTTTATTACTAATTTATTATTTTTAATATTGATAATATGAATAATAAGGTTTTTAATTTGTGCTATATATGCATACTCACCGCGTGACACATTTGACTTTGGTTAAATGTTGTACAATTGTTTTGTTCTCATTTGCAAATTTTGTTTTTTGTTTAAATATATATATTACACCACTGAACTTTCAATATATCGCGCATATAAATATATAATTATATGGTATATACACAGATGTGGCATATGGAGGCATCGGTGTTTTTGTCCATTGGCTATATATTTCATTCTATTTCGAAGGGATTACTAGTTGGGTTCGGGGTATTTGAGTTTTTTTTGTTGACTGATGATGGATCAATCTATATAGCTGCATCTCTGTTGCTCTAATGGTGGCTCAGGTAGGTCTTGCGCTTCAGGTAACCACTGCGTATGGGTGATGATAGTCCTGTCTCGTTGCTGTTTATCGATATCAAGGTCGATGGCAGTGTGTGCGTGTGAGGTGTGTGTGTGGGTGTTGTGTTTGGTTTTAAATAGTTTTTTTTTCAAGCAAATTTTGGTTTTTGGAAAAAGAGAGATAGAGTTAAAGTTGAATAAGAGTTGAATTTTGTGGCTCTACGATGGATTTGGAGGCTGAGGCATTTGTAACATCGATACTCATCGACTTTTCCTCACCTCCAATATTGGTGGTATTTTCATTGGTTTTCATAAACTTTGTTTTTTTTTTTCGTCACAACACCAATCAATCAATAAAATGCTCAGCTAGGTATGCTTTAAAATACTCAACAAAAAGAACTCAAAAAATCTGTGGGGAGTATAAGGCATATTCTAAAACGCTAAAACTAACACCAATTGTCTGTATTGTTTTGATTTTTTTTTGTTTCTATCTGTTTACAAGATGCTTTTATTGTTGTTTAATTGCTCTAAACAATTTATTTGTTGTTTGTTTAAGTTGCAATTCAATTTTCATTCGTTGCTTGTTCATGCAGCCTGATGGTGTATATTGTGAGAGGTGTAATTGTCGGCGTGGTGGGTTTTGAACAGCGTGGTGGGTTTCGAGGCCGTAAAGCGTTAAGCGTTTTTTGTATTTCGTATTATTATATATTTTTTTGTATTGGTTATCCGTAAATCAAGGAACAAACAAAGAAAAGATACAAATCGTAATCGAACATTATAAATCATATATATATGTACTATATAGATATATATTACCAAAAGGCCCATTACTGTACTGCTTTTATTTATTTGGCATTACATACGTATTTTTATGTTTTGTTGCATTTTGGCTTTTGTTCGCAATCAAAAATAATATCATACAAATACAAATAAGGAAATAGTACATGAATGCAACAATAATAATCATAATAGTAATAACTTATAGTATAAATAATACGGCATTTGTTCTACGAGAAACTTAAAACTGTAAAATATAAAATACAATACGATTCGTGGCGGACTAGTTTTGGGAGGATAAATGAGAAAAACAGATTGCTTTTTATAAATTTTTTAAAATCCCTAATGATCTCTAATGATTAACTAAAATTGATTTAATGATCTAGTTTTCCTAGGCAGCCGGAGTGTCCTTTTCAATGGCATTCTCAATCAGTTGGGCCAGTAGGATGTGGCTGCTGCTGCTGGGACTGTTGATGTTGCTGCTGCAGGGACTGATGTTGGCCAATTGCAGCTCGAAAGCGTTGCTGCGCAGGATTGGTTCGATTTACGGCGATTTACGGGCAAGGGAAGAGGGCATGATTAGGTGGATTTAATTGGAGATTCGGTTTTTGGCAAGATTTTTGGACCGGGACTTTTCACCGCCCGAAGATGGCGCACACAACAACTTTTAGTGGGATGGACGGATGGGTTATGTCATTGCATCATCTCGATGGCAAAGCAAAAATAATATCTGGTTGACAAATTAAATGGCCATGCGGACCCAAAACGAAATCATAAACAGAAAGCCACACAAAATAGGTATACACCAACAAAGCGGTTTTCGATGAAATACATGTATAATACCTTTAGCTGTATCAATATTTTTGAGAGCTTAATATTAGTAGTATCTTGGAATAGTATATGCTTTTAATATTAATTTGTATGCAATTTTTTTTCCTAGCTAATATAATCCCTGTTGTTTTTGTAAACTAATTTATTCAACTTGTAATACTTTAAAAACCATTAAACCTTAAGATTTACCAAGCTTTATAGGTTAAAATATTTAAATGAATATTTACCAACCCTAAGTAAAATTGTTCTATAAAATGTTCAGCTTGTTAATTGTATGTTATATAAATCCCTGTGTCTTTCTTGTAGTAGATTACAATAAGTAAGGTAAATATGATATGCAATGGATCCATTAAAAAATACTTGTCATAATCTTTGGACATATTATTAAAATACATTTTGTATAAAGGATGGTTCTAACCTATTCAGCTATGTATGACTAAAATCCAATATCCTGAACTACATTTTAGACTCAAACTTTGAAGCAGCTAAGGGCATTGGTACTGTGCACAAAACATATAACATTAACACACACACGAATGCGTTGGCCTATTTACACTAAACACAAACACAGATATGTATATACAGCGAGGATCGGGCGTTACAGTGGGTGCGCTCTGTACAGTGGATCGTCTCAAGCAGCGCCAGCCAGTGGCATCAGCGTCTTACCTTCTGCGCCGCGGATTGGCCGTCTGGCCGGGAAGATTGAAGCATCCACGGGGGATGACCATGCGGGCATTGCCCTTCGCCGGCCGCGAACCGCCCACCGCCTGCAATCCGGCCAGGTGGGCGGCATAGCCGTCGCTCAGCACGGTGGCGTTGGACTGCAGCTTCTTGCCCACCTGTAAAATGAAAGAAAAAGAAGAAAAATAGGTCAAAAATAGGTCTGTCACTTGGTTGTAAACGATGCAGCAATGCCTTAAATTGCAGCAATGTTAAACATAATATTTTTATTATAATTGTTAAATTGATCAGTTTTTAACTCACTTTTTTAAATAGAGGCTCTTTAACAATTTTCAAAAAATTATTAAAATTATTTGACTTTACGATTTCTGCCTTTTAAAAACAAAGAATAATTTTTGAAAAATCTCACTCAGTAAAGTTGGTTTTAAACGATGCAGCAACCACTTAAAACTCAGCAATGTTTTACATACTTATTTAATTAAAATTATAACATACCAGTTATTAAATTACACTTTAAATCACACTTTAAGTTAAAATAAAAAATAATTGACATCATGTAATCTGCATTTTAAAACCTAATAATAATTATTGAAAAATACCGATCACTAAAATCTTATGATAATCAGTCATAAACTCACATTTTTAGTAAAATAAGTTAATAATGAATTCGGCTTATCAAAACTTTATGTTTGTGAAGCATTAAACTATACTTAAGACACTTCTCAGCCATACATGTTTATCTGGCAATCGTTTGAGTGATAAAATACAAAAATATGAATTAAAAACAAGCCATCACCTTGCCCACGATGAAGATTTGATCGGTTCGCATGCCCACATTTGTGTAGACGCTGATGTCCTTGCTGCTGCCGTAGGCTGCGGTGATTGAGATTCCGTGATTCTGCACAAGGTTGTTCAGATAGGCCGTCTTGTGGCCCAATGGATCGGTGGACAGGCCGTCGGCGAACGAGATGAGGCCGTGCGGGAAGTTGTGCTGGCTCAGCCAGGACACCACCCGCTGCTGCTGCATATCGGGTCGTCCGGTGATGTAGATGAGCAGGTAGCCCAGCTCCTGCCAATGCCGGCAGACATCGACCGCACCGGCACGCACCTTTGGATCCCGACCCGTCACCGACATCGATGCGGTGAAGGAGCCATCAATGCTGAAGACGACGCATTCGGTCAATGGCGGCACCACTGCCATATAGCAATCCACCGAGGTGTGATCGCCACGAACCACCATCTTCACGGGATAGATGCCATAGCCGAGTGAGACCTGATCGGGAATGCTGTACGAGATGCGACCGTTCTTGTCCGTCACCTCGGTGCTGAGGAATGTCCATTCACCCGCCGGCGGATCCTTCATAATGTGCACATCCACCTTCTCGCCGTGCAGCGTGATCATGTCCAGGGGTCCGTACATGAATCGGGCATTCAGACGCTGCTCCCTGCCCTCCTGGACGATCACATCGTTGGCCCGATGATTGGCGGCGACATTTTTAAGCTTCACCGAGGTGCGCTTCTTGATCCACTTCTCACGCGGCTGTCCCGGATGGAAGGAGGCATTGTCCTTGTCATCGTTGGAACCCACAAAGGGTATGCCCTCGAATTTGCCAATCTGCCGCAGGATGAAGGCAATCACATCCGGACTCTCCCAGTAGCTGGCATGGAATAGGTGCGGCAAGGCGTGAGCCGGAAAGTTGCTCAATCCCTCCGGGCAATAAAGGGCGTAATCCAGGCGCTTCGTGCCCCACCATTTGTTCTGAACTGTGAATGGACAATGGAATAAGATTGGATTACTAGGTACTGATTATTTAAGTGCAATATAGCGACTAGCGGATAACGAGCTTCTTACGGGCATGGATCGTACTAAGCGAGACATTCTCAATCAGACCCGATATCGTGCTCTGCATCGAGGCATCCGACAATCTTCGGCCGGCCAACAAGTTATTGCCATCGTTAAAGTGCTGCGGATGCGACTGAATCACCTCCACTGAAAGTGATAAAAAAGGAAATATAAAAATATATATAAAAACCTTTTTATAATGTACTATACTGGCATCTATCCGATGAAGATGGTGGTTGATTTGCCTATGATATGAGTATAAAATCAATACTAAATAGTAGGCTTTATAATTTATAGTTTAGTTTTTAAATTTTCCTTCTGTTCGTGTTTTAATTTCAAAATTTTAATTTTGTTACTGTTGAAAGTATTAAGTTAATAACGTACTTATAAATAAGTCTAATTGAAAACTGAATAAACATTCAACTAGTCCCTTTTTAAATACAAATCGCAATTAAATGATTATTTTCAGACTCCATTAAAAGGTTTAGTTAATACATAGTGGAATAGTTTTTAAATTGTGGGGTGTGTGAAAAGTGTCTGCGATTAATGCTAATGCCAATGGCTTATTTTATTAAGGCCCATCTTGCTCCGCTTCATACTCACATAAATGCAATGGCTGACCATTTCCCAGCGGATACTTGGCGTACCGAGGGACATTAACCGGCGCCAGAATGGAGAACCGGGCACTGAGGAGCGGCTCCAGACGCGAGGCGATCGGATCGGTTGGATGGAACAGATTGTACACCTGATGGCAGTTGGGCCTGGCCAGGGCGGCCTTGGCATCGTGGAGTTTCCGTGCGGCCAGGACCACGGACAGCGGTGATCCGAACATGAAGAAGTCGCACACCTCAAAGTCCAGCTTGGTGGCCCGCGAATCGCTCGAGGAGCTGGAACGGCGTCTCCGTGGCGATGGAGCCACCAGCAGTCGCTTGGCATCCAAGTCGGCCTCAATGAAACGCTCGTCATCGTCCAAGCGGGAATGGCGGGCGCCCAGCGGATTGTGGGTATTAATATTGGTCGCGGCGGTGCCGCAATCTCCGCCAGAATTCGAGGCACCCGAGGCGGTGCCCGGTTGGCTGCCATTCGAACGGCACAGTGCCTCGTAGGCCAGCAACGAGCCCATCGAATCGCCCAGCATCACAATCTGTCCGGAGAAGCCGTGTCCCTCCTCCGATTTCAAGAACTCATGATAGACAATATTAGCGGCGGCCACCGTCTTGTTCACCGTCTCATGGAATTCCGGCGATGCGACGGACAGGAGGGGTATAGCCCCTATGGGTACATCGGCTATATTTGGTATATCCGCCGCCGAAGGTGAGGCATCAAAGGAGTACGGACTGAGGCTGGAGAGGATGCCCAGGGCGTCGGTGCAAATCGAGGGGCACGGCACCATCTTGATGGTCACATGGGTGAGGAGGCTGGGATAGTGCTGACGCATCACCGCCTCAAAGGAGCCGCGGAATGTGGTGACATCGGATTTCTTTGCCGTCAGCTCGCTCGCTGCATCCAAAACACTGCCCGCATGGACAACCAGGATGAGAATGGTGGTCGGGCAGGATGGTGTGCTCGGCGAACCCGGCGGCGACGAGTCGTGGCTGCGATCCACACTGGCCGATGAGCGCAACTGTCGCTTATTCCCACGCTCCGAGGCGACGCGCATCAAGAAGTCCTGGTTGAAGATACTATCCTCCTGCCGGGAGTGGCCACGTCCGCCCACGGATGCGGCGCTCGAGGGTCCACCATGTGGCGGTGGACTGTCGTCGCCCTCGCCCAACAGCTCCAGGGAGCTCCACTTGGCCAGTGAGTTCGTTTCATTGGTGTCTGTTGGCGAAAATGGGGAATAAGTTTGATTTCATCTACGTGTTATCATAATAATCTATATTCTTAGTCCTTAAATACAATTAATTACAAAGAATTTATTTAACATTCATATTTATATTTACAACTCCAAAGGGGAATAAATTAAAAAATTTAATGACTAAAAAAGAACATAAAGAATTCGCGTTCTTAGCCTCATCACTCAAAGACGCGAATCCTTTATGACATGACAGTCCTTCATGCCCTCTATTTACTTAACAGGATATTTTGGAATCTCCTATTAAATATATATAAAATAAAATAAATAATGCTTACCCAAACAATCGAAGAATTCTTCGTCCGAGTTGGACTTGGAGTCCACTTCCAACCGCTCCATTCGCCAGTTTGCCACCTGCGGTGAATTGTAAATTGATTTAATATTTATAAACAAAATAAATGCACAGGTAAACCGTTGGGTTAGTTATATTTTTCCGATTCTGTTCTACAAAAAAACGCTTTAAAAAGTTGAGATATGGGGCAGCCGTAAGCTAAGCTAAAAGAACTTTGCTAATCAAGACCTGCAACTAAGCAAATTACTAAAGGAAAGGATATTTTTACTATTAATCATGATGGGATAATGGGCTAGGCAATTACTGATATTGAAAACGAAAGAGAGGGCATATATAGGGGGTGATAGAGAGGGCATATAGAGAGTGACAGAGAGGGTATGTAAAGAGTGACTGAGAGGGCATATATAAAGAAAGACAGAAAGGGGGAGAGGAACTTACATGTCTGCGTGGCGCTGCCTTTGCATGCGGCTTTTTGGACTGATTTGTTTTTGGTTTTTGTGGATTTGTTTTTGTTTGGATTTGTTTTATTGTTGTGAATTAATTTTTTTTGTATAATTTAGTTTGGTTTTTTGTGTTGAAATCGATTGTGTTGTAGTTGTTGGCGGTAGATCGTGTTGGATGGAAGGTAAATTAAAGATTATTTTGGTAAGACGCAGCACATTTAAAGGACAAAGCGACACACAACACACAGATAATCAAAAACAGAGTCATAGACAACAAAGGTTTATATTTCCGAAAAATAATTTTGGAATTATTACAGAATTGCAATTAAAAGATAAAAAAAAGATGACACTTAAAGATCAAAACCTTTCATTAGAAGATAAACACCTATAAGGTTAAGATAAATTAAATTCAGAATCATTAATAAATATTTTTCTTAATGGCGTAACAATACAAAACAGTTCCATAAAAACGACAGTACAACCAAACCAAAAATTTAATAACTTGAAAAGTTTCAAATATTTACTTTAAAATTAACTATTAGAAAGAACACCATTATATAAAATATTTTAGAAATCATATATCTAATCCCTGGCACTTTAGTCAAATACTAGTTTCAGTATTCTGAAGTATCACATATATATAAAGAGTTAGGAAAACATTTAAGTTTAAAACACTGAACTTGTAACCATTTCCATTCCCAGAGTAAACACACGAAATGGACATCGAGAGAAAGAGCAAAGGAAACCCATGGGTCGTTCTCGCCCTGCTCACCTGAAGATCGAAGCTGTGTGCCGAGCCCACCGGCGAATGGAGGGCACCCTTGGACCCAAACTTGGCCTTCTGGGCCATCTGGATGCTCTGGGAGCGCGACCTTTGGGCGGAGCCGCCTTGGTTGGCGGACAGATCCACGCCCGTGCCAATGGCATCGTTCTCATCCTCGTCGTCCTCCTCCTCCTCCTCATCGCCCTCCTCATCCGAACTGGCCTCGGCACTTGGCGGCTGCTGGGTGACGATAGGCGGTACGGCAGGAGCGGACTTCTTCCGCTCGCTGCCCGCCGTGGAGGCGGCGGTGACCGCCGTGCTTACATACGGCTCCGAGGTGCTGTCTGCAATGGAACCATATGCAATTTAACAGGGATAAGTTACAAGGAGTGAATATAATGAATGAATGTAGTTGGGATGGTCCCTAGTTCTCATAACTATCTTATATCACCAAAGATAAATACATATAAAAACTCAAGGGCATTTCTTACTACTCTAGTTTGTACTGCTTTGCATTAAAATACATTATTTCTTAATCTAACCAACAAGGCAACCTTAAGTTAGTTTGATAAAACATAAAATACAACATAAGCATGCTTGGAAAAAACTGTCAACTAATGATTGCTCCTAATATGTTTTTTCTCCGTAGTTTAAAAGATAGCAATTTAAAATACAAAGTATCCAGAAGTGATTGCGTACACGTAATAATTAAGAAAATTTAAAGCGCAAGACATATCAACAATAAATAAATAAAAGAAATGTATTATTTTGTGAATCTATAATTATATGCATCAATTAAGAGACATGCCCTAAGCAAAACCAGAAACAACATATTAATCATCGTTAGTCAACTCAATCTTTACTATGCTATAAACTTTCGCTTGAATTCAATATCCAAATACACTCGAAAATGTTCCATTTCTATGCAATTAAAAACGTTTACAATTTGGCAAAGGCATGTGGTGATGGTGAGGTTGAAGTGGATGCTAGGATTGTGGAGGTGGCCAAATCGGACTGACCATCGCTGCACTCCTCGCCGCCGCCCATCTTTTTGGCCAGGGCCAGCTGCGTCTGACGCTCCAGCTCGCGGATATCCTCGATAGTTAGGCCGTGCCACTCGTCCTGCCACGCCCACGCCTGCCGATGGGCGCGCAGCATCATCTTGCGCAGCGCCACATCGTGAATGAACTTCTCCAGCTTCGTCTGCATGCCCCAGTAGCGGAACTCCACGCGGCAGATCTTGTAGGCGGTCATCAAGGACATGTTGCGGGGCGTCGGCTGCTTCTTGCCCTTCACCTCGCGCCAATACTCCTCCAGCCAATCCTCGCCGAGGGGACCGCGTCCCGTCTTGTCCGACACAAAGTGCTTGGGATCCTCCTCCTTCACATAGTCGCCGCCCCACAGCTGATCCTTCACAATGTCGATCACATCTGTAAAAGCCAATTAGAAATATTAGGCATCGATAATAAAATACATTAAATGCAGTATCCCTAGGCATACGGAATTTAATATATTAGCCATCTTTTCCCTAAGACAAATAATTTACAATTTGTATCTTTATCTATATCATTTTATATATAGTAGAGATATAGAAATATTAATTGAGAGTTGTTCAGTGTTTTTAGAACTTACCCACAATGCGGTTACGCAGATCACTTCCGGACAACTGAAACACATTATCCTGATAGCCATTATCCGGAAAATAGTACGTCTCAATGTCCAGCGAGAACTTCTCCACAAATGGGCAGGTGTAGCGGGTCCTGGTATAAGGATAGGCATTCCACGCCTCCTCCTCCACGGTTAATGCGCTCTTGGGCAAGAGACCTTCAGATATATTACATATAAAATAATTAGTGAATATAAATAAACAGGCTGTAATATACAACTCACTCTTGATCCAGCCTGGCAGATGATTGCCCACATGGTAGATCTTCTTCGTGTACTGCCCATTTCCGCCAGGTCCGTCCTTATATGGCTCATTTATGATTATTTCGACGCCACTGCCCTCGCCATGACTCTCCTCGCGACTCTTTTTCTGTGGATCCGAAAACAGTTTTACGAGACTATTATGATCCAAACAAATAAACTACACAGCTATAATGGCGTATTGAGGGAATTTCCGTGGAAAAAGTTTGATAAATATTGGCAATAGCAAACATTTGTAAATAAATCGAATGTGCAAAGCCGAATAAACAATTCTAGACAGCTTATTAATGGTGTGACGTCCAAAGATTATATTTGCAAATAGTTGAACTTTCACTCAGGAAACTTTTTACTTTCAACGTTTTGGTTGCTAAAACTTTACTCTAACTATCAATCAAATCTGCCTTTGAAAACTTTTTTTAAACGATTTGGTTCTAAGTGGAACTCCACTTTAAAATGTTCCATCAACTGTAATGAGCTGATTATCGATTCAATGTTACTTTGGTTTTAAAATCATGATAATTCTCAACTTTTAGTTGAAGAAAAGAAACTTAAATATCACAATCTATCATCAAAATTTAATTTGAATCTGGGATAATATGCTGTCAAGTAAATACAAAAACTTCTGGAGCCTGAATACCGAACCCTAATGATGCAGTTTTCCACTTACCGCAATCATGTAGAGCTGGGCGATGCGGTACTCCTCAACGGTGAGGGGCAGCGGAATGCGGTACTCCTTGATCAGCATGATGACCGCGTGACTTTAGTCCTTTCAATCTTTCAATCCGGGGGTATCCCCTCCGGCTATTGATGTATGTTTGAATGGCGGGCCGCAGAGTGCCTCTTCCGACGGATCCGTCCTCCTTTCCGGCTGCCTTTATTGGCTCTCGTTGGCTCAGGGAATGGCAATCATCGATTGCCGCTGGTCATGGCTGGATGATGATGGAGGCGACGCTGTCGTCCGACGCTCTTGACGGGGGGAACTCGTCGTCTATGACCTGGACCGAATACGGAATAAGGAAACGAAAAACGAGAGGCGGAAAAACGAGGCAAGGTTAGTCGGCGGGGAATATATTGATATTTTTCCGTGGCTGGAGGAGGTGTAGAGGTCTAGATGTAGGTGTGCTAGTGTTGCTATGGCTTCTCCCTTGTGCCTATGTGACATTAAACTGAATGAGCAAACCTGAAAACTAAAACCGTAAAGCCCTTTACAAAAAGTAAATTTACTTAGGAAAGTGTTCATTACAAAGCCACCTTTTTTGCCATTTTGTGATGGGATTAGTGTTCATCACAGAAATGAAAACAAAACAAAAACAGTGTACAAAATAATAAAAAGTATATATGTTTTAGGGTGTGATTATTCCAAAATTATATTTTCAGTTGTTTATTACTGAATACTACAGAAATTTTTTTAACCTGGGAGCAAATACAAAATCAGATAATAATTTCAAAACAACTATTAAAGAGCTTTAAACTGCCGTTTTTAATACATAACACATTTGCACAAAGCAAATAAACAAAGATAAACATTTTAAGGCTAATTATTGAGGTGGAATCCACAATCATTGTTTGAAAAGAACGGAAAAACAAAAGCCATGCTGCACATCTTTTTAAATAGATTATGAAAACCCATAAAAATTAGTCTAGCTAATATGGTAATGGGTTAAAAGTTATATATATATTAATTTAATAATCTAGGCATTATTTTGAAGAAGCATTGAAAACGCTATTAATTATAAAATGTAACTGAACAATAATTATGTTCGAATTTTTGAACACTCCAAATGGGTAAGAAACTTTAACAAAAAGAATTTAATTTTTAAGTGTTCGCACAACTAAGAAATAGGAAACCCAATCCAATTTTTTTAAGCTCATTATACAAATTGCTTAGTTCTATAAGTCATTTGCTTGAACTAGTTGACATTTGATGGGCCCACCATTGCTATATTTTCTAGGTCACTTTGCTGGTCCCCTGTCAAATGGGTATAGCTAGCTGGCTACTAATGCGTGAGTTCTCAAATGTAAATTACCATTTTATTTATTGATTTCGAAAGACAGCAAAATGGGGACATTGAATTAAGGAGGGGAAAGTCTTTGACAGGCACTTCAGATAATCGGATGTGACTTGAGTGGTTTGTTGGCGGGACGAGGGGCATTGTCTATAAAATGAAAACAACAAGAAGTAAGTGTCTGATGGGGTCAAGCATGGTCTCACATTTCACAACAACAGCTAGTGCTGTCAGTTGCACCTTTATTTCCCATTCCCTATTAATTAAAGTTTTCTCTGACCTTTTCAAATTTTCAATTTTTATTTTACTTCATCTAGTAATGGATTTGGTAGTCAGGTAACATTGCAACATTGCCTAAATAAATAAACACTTTATTATTACCGCTATTGTTTACAAGCAATAGCTATGAACTTGCGAAATTAACTTTGAAAACCAGTTCATAAATTTCTTTCCGCATAAACTAGCTTAAATAATTACTTTTTTTTTGTTAAATCTGATTTTATTTTATTGAAGAAACTTTGTCATTACTGACCACAACCAAAAGCTAAAATTCAGTTTATTGTGCATATTTTCGTTGCTGTTTCTTACCTTGAACCATTTCTACCTTTCCTATCTTTTTTACTAATTGGATTTATTGTTGACTGCTGACAACAGCAATTCGAGCACATGGGCGAAGGGAGATGGCGAAGGGAGATGGCGAAGGGGGGGGCAATCTAGGACGTGGACGTCTGACGCATTTGCATAGCATTTTGACCTATCGGAATGTGACTAAAACCACATGGGGAGAGGGGGGTGGAGAATGAGCTGGCAAACACGTGTTAAAGTCGAGTGCCATACGAACAGCGATAGGGAATTATCATTATGGTCGATAACAAAGTGATGGATTCCCGTGCATAAATATTAACTGGGTTCTTATTAATATAAGTAGGGGTAATTACAGTAAGTATTGACTAGCGAAAACTTTTCAAATGCATTTAAGGGGGATAATTTATGGTTTAAGAACTTCCAAAACTTGGGTTTTCATAGATAACTTAAGAAAATAAGTAAATAAGTAATTATATACATAATTAATAATTTTCTTGCAAAATATATTACTTTTAAGCTTATATATATTAACGTGATCAATTTTCTATCATTTATTTGCCTTTTTGTTATCTAATCTACCTTATTACGGTCAGCAACGTCAACAAAGTTAACTTATATAATTAAAAAGATTAAACTAACGAAATGTAAAACCTATTTAAAAAGAATACAGATTTTATTTCAGGAATCCTTATCCCTTTCTATTGTTTATAATGTGTTCTTTTGTTTCAAGCTTGCACGCTAACTCTTTGTTTTTAATCTATCTTTATTGTAGTTACAAATTGTCAACTTCCGGCGCTAATGACCTTCATTAGACTCCTAATCTGTTTAGATCCTATCTGGCATTTATCTCGACCACAAAATTAGTCCAGTTACTCATTAAATGTTAGCGTATTCCCCCTTCAAATTTATGGATCCCAAAAGAGCTTTCTTTTTAATTGGACCTTGTTGTTTGACGGTCGGGAGCTCGGGGAGGGAAATTCTAAATTAATGGAAATGGTACTACTACTACATCCATCTTTATTGTGCAATTACCATATTTGCTTTCTAACAAATAAGATTTTACACATTGGGAATTCAAAGAGGTATTTTAATAAGAAGTTATATTAATTGAATATATGTAAATCGTACAACAAATTTTGTGTTTCCTTTTTTTCCATTGATTGAAAATATATGAATTATTAAAAAATGTTTTTTAATTTAGGTTTCATTTCAGTTTAGTTGCATTATGCAAACAAATTTACAAATGTGTAGAAGTATTTAACCAAATTGGCTTCATTTTTGGCATCCATTGGTTACTTATCTAATGCAAAATAAATATAAAAGTAATACTTTTATAACTTTGAATTTATTTTAACCATGATACCATGATACATATGTTCGTAAAGTGGAATTGGCGATGCTACAACAACAGCAAGCACAACAAAGAAGGCCGTCAATCAATAATTATTGGGCACAGCGAGAAGAGGGGAAAAAAGCGAAACACAGACTTGCACATGTTTATGTCATGGCAGTTACATGGCAGGCCGTAGCACAATCGTAAGCCCCAACAATATGGCCACCACTTTCTTCTGCTGCCGCCTCCCTTTTTGCCCCAAGCTTTCTCCGTCTGCTCCACCTCCTGTTTTGCCTCCCCCATCCCTTTGCCTCTTTAGCATAATTACATTTTGTGACACAGAAAATGCGCCGACAGATTTTATTTGCAACCCTTGGTCAAAGGTTATTGAAAATGGAACACATATGGTATTTAAAAAGGCAGCACGAGATGGCTAAGGAAATCTTTGGAAAGACAATCAAATTTAAATAAAAAGAAAATTAATAGCTTTCACGACACTCATACAAAATAACTAACTATTATTTTAAGCAGCGGAAACACATTTTTATATACGCTTTTCGAAAATACCCACTTAACAAAAAGTGACATTAAAATAGGAGCAGTTCTATGTTCTATTTGTTGTATATTTCTCCAATAAAAAGTTCTTGATTTATATCTTCTTTTTAAACTTTAATTGTTGCGCTGGTATACAAAGATTAAGAGCTAAACTGAAAAGGTCATACAACAAAATGTTAACGCGCAAGTTATAGGAAATCAGCGTCTTTATCTTCCGATATTATTTCTCTACAAATAAGCAAGATTATATAAAATTCAGAACTGAAAGAGATAAGCAATATGAAAATTCATGATGAGAAAAGTCTTTGCAGTGATAAGATTTATTACTATAAAGCTTCTTATATGGGGATAATAAAGTAATCTGGTACGGTAGAAAAATAAGCAAGGCACAGCACACTTAAAGGTTGTTCCTAAAGTTTTCAAAGAAATGTACCAACAATTTAAATTTTTTCGAAAACAGCCAAAAATAATTGAAAATTGAGTCATCGTAGAGATTATTGCATTTGTTTCTGTTCATTATTAAATTTTATTATTAGCTTGGACTTGCTATTTCTCAAAGTTTTAAACATTTTCCAAATCAGTTTTTTTTCCAAAATAATAGCAAGCCATTTTATGAAGCATTCAACTTAATTATGCATTTCGTAATGTTAAAATTTATTGGGCGTGCAATTTCCCACGCATTTTGACCCACTGTGCATTAATAAACAAATTGCAAACTCACACATGTGGCTTGGCTATAAAAGAGCTGGCCAAAGTGCACGTAGCCTTCAATGTGGATGTGTTTATGATGTATTTTGTCATTTAACAATTTTTTTTATGATGTGACCAAAGGGTAAAACAAGGGTACACACAGAAAAATCACTACAAATCTTATCTCAACTTTTGTAACGTCACAAAAAAAATATTATAAAAAACATTTGAATGCCACAAAAATACTATAGTCAACTTCAGTATTTGGACACTTATTAATTTATATTTTATTTCGTATTTTCTTTAATATAATTTTTTACTGTATATAATTTAATCAAATTTTATAACCCAATTGTACCTTATCAACAATGTGGTTTTGGTGATAATAATTGATACAGAAATCGGATAGGTGAATTTTTTTCTGTGTAATGCATAAGGGCTAACAATTTCCAGTTTTTTATGCACAGGTCTTTTTACTAAGTCTGACAAACGGTACTCAAAGAGTGCACAACTAAAAAATGTCAAAAATGGGGAAAATAAATTTGCTCAATTGTGGCAACAACAGCGCCAAACTGATAAATAAATTGCCATGGTAATTGACCAAGAAATACAATACAACAAATAAAGGTGTAGAAAAAAAGAGCAAAAAAGCGGTAATAAAAGAGGAAACAAAAAATATAAAAAAAGAAACGCACTCAAGTGGAAATAAATGAAAGCGTTAGTGGGACAGAGATGGAAACAGCGGAGATGCAAAGAGAGCAAAGGTTGAAAAAAAGCCTATTTAATCCGAGTCTCAAGTTTGGCGAGCTAAGCTAAATTAGACGGAAAAGAGCAAGAAGGTCGCGCTCTCTCTCTAGCTCTCTTACTCACTCTCTCACTCTCCCCCTCTCGCAAAATCTTGGTGCACACCTGTGGCACGCTTTGTGCTTATTAATAATTTATAAATACAACAAGCAGCGAAATAAAAACACAACAAACGCATGCAGCATTCCATGCAGCAATGGATATCCATATTTACTAACTCTCAATGAATTTACTTCCTCCTGTTTAACTTTTGCAAAAGTATGTATTAGGTTTATAGTTAATGGTTTAAACTTTCATTATATTTTTTGCTTGTTAAAGTATTATCATCATTTTCTTTCTAATAAGTAGAAAAAACACAGCTCTTCTATTTGAAGGAATGTTGAATTGAGGAAATTCCTTAATAGCTAAATGAATATGATTCGTGAGGCAACTGCCTCTGGTAACAAAATACTTGGTTCAAATCTCACTTCTGATTGTTATAATTGTCACGCAGTATAATTTTGAGACTTAATATTAAAATATCGGTGATCGTTGATATAATGTTCAAAACCACAAGTAAAATAACCAGAAAAACTTCCAACTTTAAAAAAATTTTTAAATTGTGTTTGTTAAAAATAAATTTTAGAAATGGACAACCTACACTAAAGAATAGTAACTTTTAATATTCCTTTATGTAAAAGTAGATAAAAAGCCAAAAATAAAAAAGTAAATATGTCACTTCACAAAAACTAAAATCACGAAAATGCGTAAACCCAAACAAAACAAAGCTTTACGTGAAAATTATGCATGGAAAATTCTTATCACAGACTTGTTGTTGTTTGGAGAAGAGAGAAGAAAGCGTGCAAGAGAGAGAGCTAACGGGACCTTGAGACCTGGCCACAGCCAACACACACGCACACTCACGCAACGCAGCTTACGCATTTACGCAGAGCAGCTACCACCCACAAACACACACACACCCCCACCCACAATCAACTAAATTTGCGCATTTTTTGAAAAACTATTATTTCCGAAACAAAAAAAACAGAGAAGGACGCAAAATCTTTCAGTGGAAACTCACATTTTTATCATTCGCAGGCGGGCAGCTGCACAATTAACAACAAATAAATAATGCTCAAACGCAAAAAAAAAAGCACAACAACAAAATATAAATATACAGTAAATATTTGCTGGCTCGATGGGGCGATTAACACAATTTATCTATTCATTTTCTTCGGGCGCTTTTCCAGGCCGCAGATACAAAATGTTTTTTCAGCGTTCTTGCTTGCCTTCCTCTTTTGCTTATATTTTTTTGCAATCAAAACGTACACACTGAAAAACAGCACGCGCTTCGCGGCAACGATGTTGCGACTCTGCTCGAGTTCGATTCTGAACTGAAACTGAACTGAACTGAACTGGACGGGACGCCAAACACTGAACGAAATCAAACGAAGCAAAGCCAAAGCTGAGAAAAGGCAGAAAAAGAGAGAAGGCAGAGAGCAGAGAGACCAGAAAGAGAGTGGGGGCGTTCCGAAAATTTACTTCAATGCAAAATCTCTAGAGGCTTGAAACCGCTCAAAAATATATATTTATGCTGAAAGTCCTAAGGATATGAAAGATGGTTTGCTATTTTGCACAGTATACTTTTTGGGGATGAAATAAGACTTTAAACATAATTTCAGACTAGTTATCAGTATTTTAATTGTACATATGTACATATATGTTTGTAAATTAGAGAAATCCCTTCATTTCTCAATACAACAAAATTGTATTTCATTTTTTTATTTTCTTAAATGTAAAATGTAATAATGGGTGACATACGTGTCGTATGAGTAATTTAAGTAACACTCATACGACACGTATGTAATATTGGGTAACATGTCGTATGAGTAATTTTTATGAAAATGGGGCAGTCCATATTAGTGTGAAATATTTGTAAGTCCTACTCTAACAAGCTAATATTGTGCACGTTAGTGGCTTTAAAGCATACCAGAAAGAAATAATTTAATCCAACTGACATTTCGTGTCGTATGTGTAATTTTTATGAAAACTATGAAGATAAAGATTAAAAAAAAAGCAAATAATATATTTGTTGATTTTTTTGTATCTAAATAAATAAAATGGAATATCTATTTATTTTTTGTCCTATTGAATGCTTTATCAGAGGCTTTTCGGAACAGCCCTTGTTTCAAGTTGTGCGCAACAAAAGCGCGCGAGAAAGCGCCAAAGAAATGCTCGCTCTCCCTCTCTAACTTTGAGAATTCCCTGAAAAGGGGGTTTCGTAAATTGGATTTATGCATATCGGCCAATGAATAATATAAGTGAAATTCCTGCAAGAAACTTGGAGGGCTCCACGAAATGCCAACGTCCCGGCGTCCTTGTGCGGTGCGCTCTCTTTAAGATAGAGAGAAGCAGTAAGAGAAAGCATTCTGCAAGCTTTGAAAACAAAAAACAGAGGGGAAAAAGAAAGAAAAGATAGCGTGAACGAGAAAGCATTTCTAGGTGAACGGTGATAAGCTTTAGATATTACGGCGTATTCCTCTACTACGTTCAGAGTTAAAGCAAACATGTCACGACATGCACAAACAAAAGACGGCAACTGTTGTCATTCTACTCCTGTCACTTAAGCTATCTCCTTCTTTCTCTTTCGCTCTTTTCTGGCTTTGTTATTTTCACTGCCTTTTCTAGTTTGTCTATTGCATGTGATAAAGTTCAACTTTGACATTTACACCGCGCATGCCCGAAAAATAGAGGAACAATTGAGTTTGCACAGGTTGGCGAGCGATGTTTTAAAGTGTAAGCGCTAACGGTAAACTAAATGCATCTTTTAATTAAGTGCATATCAAGTGGCGGAGAGCAGAAACTAATTACCTTACTCCTACCCTACATATACAAACGTGTACATTTTATTACGCTAACTTCTATCTCAAGTTCACATACCTCATAATTAATTACTTGGTTTAATGAACACCAAGGGTGTACTTCTTTATTTACACATTGTTCACGTCTGAAAAACTACAAAGCTTTAAGCTTGTTTAGCATGATTTTAAAATAATGAATATGATTATTTCTGATTTATTATATTTAATCCATTTATTAAATTTTTTTCGGCCACTTTTATTAAGTGCACTTCGGAATCTAGCTGCTTGTCCATCTTCATTTTTCTACAAAACTTTTCCAAAAAATTTTGGATGTACGCTTTTATTAGGTGTCATAATGGTATTATAAGCAAATGATTATTTATCATGTTTTTTGGGCATCTGCTTAAGATAATTGTTTAATGCAATGTACATACTTATGTATGTACAAATTTATTTATAATTTTTAGATCAATATACATATTTGGTTGTGCGTTTATTATCCAAAAGTTGAATATTAGTATATAAGGTGTATATTATAAATATTTATTTTGGCAACTCCCAATTTTATCTTTACCTTGCGACTTACACGAGCTTTTTTAAATCAGATCTACAATTTTGGAATATATTTAGTTTTATTAATTAATTTAAAATCTTTACGAATCAATCAACTTTGTAAGCGATCACAAAATATTTTTAAAATATACGAATGATGCTGTGGTTAATCACAAAATGGGATAGGGATCCGAAAGCTGAAGATACATACATACATATATACATATGTATGTATTTACATATGTATGTATACCTTTTTAGCTGCGACTTGATAACATTAATTTTTTCCCATATTTTCTAATCTAGATCATAAAAGGGATTAGATAAATAACTTCTACATGATTGAATTTTCGTTTTATCAATGAAAGACTATGCATGTATACATATCTGACGACACACACGTGTCGTATGAGTAATTTAGTGAAAACGAATTACTTGATATTTCGTTTCATGAGCTTCTTTGCTTGGTTTAAATCCATAAATTTTATAAGTTAAACGTTTAAGTTTTTTCAGAAAATTTGCAGCTTTTATTTTTTATGGGATTTTATAAGTTTTTTTTTTATGATTGTTCAATGGAACTTCTAAACTAGACTACGTTGTTTTCCGGGTTTATCTGAGTATCAGAAGATAGGATGCCTGGGCGATACGACCTAGTTCTGGGCGTTGTGGACGCCGTGGTAGGAGGCCTGCTTCTTGGCGGGGCTGCGCTGGCCGAAGGGGCTCTTGGGGTTGACCTCCAGGATGTAGTCGCCGCGCAGATCGAAATCGGTCTGCAGACCCATGTAGGCGCGCTTGCCGAAACCGTCCTTCTCCTTGTACTGTTTCAGGGAGTTGGCCGGAACGGCGGGGAAGTTGCGCTCACTACCTGGACGCACGGACTCGGCAAAGTAGCGGGTGGCCCGAGCCACAGCCTCAATCACATTCTCCGAGCCGGGAACTCCGGTCGAGGGTCCATTCGGATAGAAGTCAACGTCACCGCAACGGATTGGGGTGCCCATGGCGTAGGCGGAGGTGTGGATGGCATCTACGAAATCGGCATCGCCGCGGGACAGACCACCCAGAGTCTGGGGACGCTTGGACAGAGCCTTGGCGGGATCCAGACCGGTGATGCGGCGCAGCTTGTGTCCAGTTTGGGCGGTGAACTTGTTGCCGGCAGCTCCGGCCACATGGGCGCTGATTCCCTGGCCAATCAGATGGATGATCTCCTGGGGCACTCCCTTGTTGCTCAGCTCGACCAGGGTCTGGCCGATCATGGCACCGGTGTTCTGCACATCCAGCATCGCGTAGCGCTTGAAGTTCGTCAGGGTGGAGCCGAGGTCGATGATCTGTAATTTTCAAATAAATCATATTTTAAAAATGCTTTCAAATTTCCTAACTAAATTAAAATTTAACAAAATCTAAAATGATTTTTTTCAAGATAATTCTGATTAAAGATAATTCTGATTATCCCTAATGTTTAAGCTGTTCATGGTTTTTAAATATGTTTTATAAGCTTTTGAGGGGTTTTAAATATGGAGTTTTAAGGAGCTTATCCCTTAAAAAATTCTTTATAGTTTTAATATAAATAACTCTGTTATTGAAGAGTAACGGATGATAGGAAGGTGGTTTAATTTGCAATTAAATTCAAATTGAACCCATTTGTAGCTTGAAAACTCACGATCAAATCGCCGCTGGAAGCCTTGGCCGATTTCCACTGGTCGGCTGCCTCCTCGCTGCTGGTGGACTCGTAGTCGGAGCTCCTCTGCTGCTGCTGCTGCTCCTGGGCGTTCTTCTGCTGCTGCTGGAGGTTGTACTTCTGGACGTAGGCCTGGACCAGCTTGCGCATGGCCTTCTTGTTGGCGGCACTGCTCTGGGGCAGACCGGTCAGCACAATGGTCACCTCATCCTCACCGAATCCGGGCTGGGCCTTGGCCGTCTCCACGTAGTTGTTCAGCTTGGCCTCCACCTTCTGGCCATTGGACTTGATGATCCAGACGGGCACATTGCTGGGGCTGGGCACAAAACTGGGGGTCAGATCGTGTTTGATTTGGCCAACGTGGTCTGGGGATTAAGGGTATTACACATATCGTTATTATTTTCAGATCATATATATTTATCTATTTTACTCACAGATCTTTTCGATCAGCTTGGCTCCCTGCTCCAGGGGCTGATTCTCCAAACGCTCCCAGGTGATGTCGTTGAGCGAGGGCACACTCTCCAGATCGGAGGCGGTTAGCCACTTGGTCGGCTTCAGCTGCATGTTGGAGCCATCCTTGGAGGCATGGGCCGCCACCAGGAGGCAGGTGGCCAGCAGGCACAGGCGCATCATCATCATTTCGGGACTGGGGATCGGAATCAGAATCAGTTCAGATCGGGACAAACGTTGAACGACGTTTGATGGCTTCTTCCAGTCCGACTTGTGGCTTATATAGCGCTCCGATTCCGTAGATGTGCGAACTATTTTCTGCTGACCACAGGAAGTCAGTCGTCGTCGGCTGTCTGGCTTCTAGTTTTTTCTTTCCCTAACCCTCCGTTCTGCTGATCTGTCGCCGGATTTTAAGTGCAAGTCAGGGAAAATTGCAATAACCGATTATTTTCGCATGTGTTTGCCAGCGGTTCCCTTATCACAAAAAGGTTTTTGAACCTCTTACACTTGACAAAAAAAGATTTGTAAAATTAACACTTTCATAAATCACCATAGATGCCTATTCCGCCGCAAGGACATCGTTCAAAGTGGGCTTAGAATTTGTTGATTAGAACACCACTTATTTTTTTGGACACAAACAAAAACCAGCATACTCCAAACAATTTGATTTCAAATTTTGTTCTTATTTATTAGGCCAAATACAAATTAGTTTTGTTAAGATTTAAAACCCAAATAAATGTAACTTTTTTTAAAGTAAGATTTCTTGAAATCGATTTAAATTTTTGTCTCTGCACATATTTTATAATTTACATTGATTAGACTTGAACTAGCAACAAACTTGCAACACCTGCGTCAAATGAGAGATTCATCCGCTGATGTGACCTGACATTGACCTCCAGCGATTGGAACCCGGCCAAATTCAAATCAATGACCTGGTGAATAATGTATGTATCAGAGAACTGAAAGGTTGAATATAATCCTTGGCTTATTAGTCAAATTTCCTTTTTAAAAATGGACTGAATCCTTGCATTTTTGATGATTACCAAAAAAGCTTTTCAAAAATTAAATATTGTAAAGAATGAAGGATATATATAGATTTTTCGATACATATATTCATATATGTTTAAAAGCAACGAAGTTATAATTATAAATCATAAACTTGCATTGTTATTAAACATTTATATACACCTACTTGTTTCAATAGGTTCCGCTGGATTAAGAAACAGCTTAAGCCAACCAAATAAAAAAAATACAAAATCTAAAATAAGCCTACATAACATGAAAGAAATAAGAATGAATAAAGTTATGTAGAACGTGATTAAGCGAAATACTACGGTAAGGCTAAAATATATATGAGCAATTGGAAATTTGATGTAATCTGAATTGTATGATTTAAAAAAACTCTCACCAAATACAAAAACACTTCCACGCAATAAAATAAATTAAATTTATAATTTGTCATAAAAAATAGTTTATTCTTAGCCTAGAGAACAGTTTATGTCACACGCTTGTTTATGTTCGTGTAGCCGATCCCGACACAAGCCATAAGTACCTTTTGGGCACCTCGCACATCCTCCGCATCGTCCTCGTCTTCCGCTTCGGGATTCTCCAGCTTAAAGGTGATCGAGAAAAAGTCGCGCAGGTGTTGCAGGAAGTGAACCGTGTAAGTGGACAGAGCACCTAAATTAAGTTAAATAGAACCAACATCAATTGAAATATAATCTTTTTAAATTGTTATGATCTTCAATCTAACCTGTGAGGAATTTGGATACGTGCTTTTGGCCCAAAGCTATATAGAGTGCTGCCAGCCATTGGTAACTGGAATCCACACAGCCACCGCGGTAAATCTCGTCTAACAAACGCATTGCTACTTCCTGGCCCAGATCCTCGGGTATGGAAGGTGTGTCCTTTAAAGAAAATGAGAAGGGTTATTGTTTGATTTATAAAACCATATAATTCCAACATCTGGTATAACAGCAAGGATTGCTTCACCTCGTGTGTTATATTTTTGGATTAGCCCCGACTCACCGACTCCTCCCTTGTGTTGGAATTACAATCGGCGGCGAAGCACACTCCATCTGTGGTCTCCGCAATCAGACAAATGCCAAATCCAGGTGAATTTCCCGACATCTTGCCCTTGTTCTGATCGGTATAGATATAGACATCGGGCAGGAACTTCAGCATACAGCCCTTGGCAGCTTCCACGGTGCGATTGGCCATCGCGGGGGATACTTTGCAGGCATAAACTGTCCCACGGATGCGTTTGACCATGCCCTGCGACTGGAATTGGATGGCACGCAGACTCTTCCGCACCGGACAGCGAAAGGTGATCTCTCCGCCGCCCAGAGGAGCAACTCCACGGCGGATGACCTTCAGTTCGAGACCCTCGTCGACCAGGAGGAATCGCTTGAGCAGAGACAGCGCTGCACCTTTGATGTGATCGACCGATGGCGAGTCCTTGCTGTTGGTCACGCCGCGCAGACTGCACTGTAGCGGATTCTTGCAGAACGGCCCCAAGGCAATTAGGGCGTCCAAATAATAGCCAATTCCACGTTGGACACAGCAATCATGATGGATCTGACCGCCGTGTAGCAATCCCGGAGAGAACATGACACTCGTGCCTGCGGGATTGAGCTCGATCTTGGTTCCGTTGGTGATCTTGTCCAGGAGGCGGATGAAATTTATTTCGTATTCCCGCAAACCAGGGGCCATCTCATCCTCCGCACGGATTTGGGTGATCTTCACCGGTTTGCCGGACAGGCAGGCGAGGATAAGGCGCTGCTTGAGGAAGTTGCTGCCGCGGTAAATCAGGCAATTGCCCTCCTGGGCAACGGGCGGCATCTTTGAGTCCCTAAATGCTCAAATTAATCCAAAGATTAAAAAAAAACCTCAAGGCACGTGCGTTGAAAGGAGGTAAACAACGGCAATCGGCGGGTTATCGCTTATCGATACACGGCAGCAGTCTGGCAACGCCCTTCTGTGCTGAGCACTGCAATACTTGTCTACTTCACTCCGAATAAAATAAATATCGTATTCAAAAATTAATTTAATTTATTTTCACATACTTGAATTTGTTTTTTTATAAGATATTAAATTTATATATATATATATATATACATAACATATTTAATTGTAAATTGGGATACAACAAAGCAAACAAAATGGCCACAGGTTAAAAGAAAATCGCGGTATGTTAACAACCCTGTCGTCTATTTAATTTTGATATCGCCGCCGAACAGAACGGATGTCTAAATAGAAAAAAAGTAGGCGAAATATAATAAATAAGTTCATTAGACTAAAAGTGTTAAAAATGTCTGAAAAAAACTACTCTGTGAGCGGTCCGAATTTTGAGGAGTACATCGTTTGTCCTTACGATAGGGTCCATCGTATATTGCCGGTCCGTTTGACTTATCATTTGACCCGCTGTGCCAAGAATTTTCCCTCCTCCAAGATGGTGCACTGTCCATTTAATACCACCCATTTGCACTCGGTTGCCAACATGCAGGTGGGTTTTCAACTGAACATTGGAAGGTAATTGTAAAGGATATAAGATTTGTATATGTACGACTTGCAGAGACATGTCATCGAATGCCCGAATCGGTCGTCCTTGGAGCGCTACAAGTTGCCGGATATGTTGCCGCCTGTGGAACCCCGATCCAGTGAGTTTATTGTCGAAACCACCGAGGATTGGGACGCCGAGCCGCCGACCCCAACTTACAATCCCCAAAGGTACTGCGAAAAGGAGTTCATCATCCGTAATCCCCAGGGCGCTCCACCGGCTGCTCGTCGCGAATTCCGAGAGCGCGAACGCAGGCGTTTCTTGGAGAACAATCAGTTTTAGATCTCTAGTTCCATGGCATACATAACCCCCTTATATATAGCCACTTTCAATTATTGTATACATATGTATGAACATACATATGTAAATTGATACAGTACTAAGAAGCGCTGATTCTTTCGTTTTTCTTGTTTTCTTTACCCAGCAAATTTTTTGATTCTGTTTATTTTTGTCGAAAAAAGTTGCAACTTTACGATGAATTCTAGGAAACAGTTAAAAATATAAAGTAAAAATTTGAATTTAATTTAATTTATTTGAAGACAGTATTATCAAACGGTAAAACAGATGTTTTCTTTTCCTTTACACTGCTCACTCGCTGAATAAAAAATATGTATTTGCTTTTCTTATCAAATCATAAGTTAAAACGTTTAATTTAAATTAAAATAAAATTTTCGTATTATACTAGGTAAAATAGAGAATGTTTAAATTTTAATTTTTCTCTTTCGCTGCTTCTTGGAAAAGAACCGCAATTTTGCGTCGTTGCCACTATTTTGTGCGATAGTTTTTTACGGTGAATACTGAGATCAAAGAAACGAATAATACAAATAGTTTTCACTAATATTAATTTACTCATTGTAATTCAACTACTTAACTATCTTTATACGTTCAATAATTAATCAATTATATGTTCAATAATTTTTGAAGTGTATTTCAGTTAGTTTCTTTAAATATTATTTTTATAAAGTTAAAAAATAAACTCAACAATAAAAAATCGTACTATTAAAAGCAAGCAAAGATCGCATTTTATTTATGTCTGTTTTCGTTTTCACCTGTGTCAGCAACCCGACAATTATAAATATTTTTCTTGGTTTTTCCGTTAACAGGGGCTGTGACTTTAAAACTGCTTGAGAAAAAGCGCGTTACCGAAAATTCAACAGTCTGGCAGCCTCGAGCCTTACAAAGTCTTGAATTTATTTTGATTTAATAATTTTTTAATGAAAGCAGTTACCATAAATAAAAACTAAGGTTTTATTAAGCACAAGTACAGCTAAGTAATATCATTGTTTTTAAAAATTGGAGCTTCCCTCTCACACAGTGATGAAGTGAGCGAGGCAAAGGAAAGGATATCAAGAGTATATTAGTTATTTAAACAGCAAGAAAACGCGTATTTCTTTAAATGTGCTCTCTTTTGCACCTAGTGTGTATCTTAGACTAAAGCCGGGAATATTTAAACTTGAAAGTTGGAAAGGGGGAAATACGAGAGCCTTTAGAGCGAAGAATATGAGTTTTGTTTCTCGGAAAACGAGAGTGTAACTCAAGTCGACCCCCAGCACTTCAACGAAAACGCTATAAAAGCGCACGCCGCGTTGTGCTCTCGCTCAGTCGAAGTTGATTTTCCACGGCGTGTTGTTGTGTGCGCCAGTTACATTCAGCGGTTCTCCATCCTTTTTGCTTCATCAAAAGTTCATATAGCTTTGCGAAAAATAAAAACAAAATCAAGGCAAAGGAGCAGCAGGCAGTTACAAAAAAAAAAACAATAACAGCAACAGCTCCACCACACACACAACTGAATGGTTGTGGGTGTGTGAGTTTCTGTATGTGTGAAGGAACCCTCTATTAAGCACACACATATGTGTATTTTTTTCTGTGAGCCATAAAAGATTTGAGTGCATTATTTTGCCACTCGCCCCCCACCCCACGCCAATAAGAAGAAGTGGGCGAAAAAGGAGACCACGAAAAAATAACAACAACAAAAAAGCTTCCAGCGCATAAAAGCAGCGCAGCCGGCGTCGACGTCGACTGCAGTGGGCCAACGTTGTTGTTATTGCAGTCGCGTCGCTTGTTGTTCTTGTTGCAGCATCAGAGCGAGAGATAGAGAGAGAGAAAGCGAGACAGATAGATAGCAGAAAAACAGGAGAGACAGATAAAGCACTGAGGTAAGTGGCAAAATAAAAAAAAAGATACAACAGCAACAACATCGATCTTGACGAAGAGCGATTAAAGTAAATAAGAAAAAACTGCCGGCGAATGCGCGTACAAAAGCACAAGAATGCAAAACAAAAATACAGTCGCGTTCACAAATTGATTCCAAAAGCTGTTTTCAACTAGATTTCGTTTTTTAAAAAGTGCTAAAATTTCGGATGTTGTGATGCCTATTTGATCCAATTGGAAAAATGTGGAATTTTGGTGTACGTGATAAACACGACCGGCACGCACGTACGCACCCAAAAAAAAACGAAGAAAAACAAAACTAGGAAAACCGGCCAACAGGGGGCGGGGTTTGTTTTTTTTTCATTTCTGTCTGCCCAAGTTTCTGTTATATTTATTTGTTTATTTGCATTCGGAGCCCTCGTCGAAAATGTCCATGTCATTCGATGCTTCTGCCTTGAGTCTTTTTTCTCGTATTTGTCCACATGTCTTTGGTTCACAGTATTTATTGTGAGCTTAAAACAAATTAATTATACAAAACAGTTCAGTTTACTGTTCTTTTAACTTTTGAAATATGTACTATATCGTGAAACCAAAAAAAACTCATAGTGTATTTTAATATCTTTGAAACTGTTTTGAATTTTACCATATCTTATAAAAAAAATGGTTTCTATTCAAATAATAATATAAATTTGGTTATTCATTTGAGTGATCTGAGTGACTAATATTTTTACCTACCCTGTTAAAAAAAATAGCATACAATGTTGCGACTCACTTCGATTCCTCTTTTTATTGGCCTTTGCTGGCTTTTTGCGAAATTTTTGCGACGCAATTTCGACAGCGTCACTTTTATGCTTTTTCCCTCTCCTTTCTCTTTCCTTCTTTTCCCCCACCTCCCTTTCTTTTCCTGATTTTCGGGGTTAAAAAATAATTTCGGACACGCATCAACAAAGAGCAAAGGAGTAAACGAGATGGGGTAGCAGCCAAAAAAAGTTTGTTTTGTTGTTATCAAAAAAAGGGGGCACAACAAGTGCGAAAGAAGAAGAAGCAGATGGACAGAGAAAGGAAGGAGACGGCAATAAAAACATAGAAATTCGTAAGGCGCACTAAATTTTCAAGGTTAAACCGGGCAAAACAAACATAAAACCGGTTACAGCATACATATGCATATATGTATTCACAAAAGGGGAATACATAAGAATAAACGGCCAAATGTTTGCAAGAAGAGGGGAAACCAAAAGCGACGCAATATTAAGCACATACACCCGAAAACAGGCGCACAAAAACAACTACATACCAACAACCAACAACAACACAGACATGCGGCTTTTTTTGGCACCGTATCTTTGTTTTTATTATTATTATGCTTTACATGGGTGGAAAAAGCATAGTAGAAGAGTGGAAATTTAATACAAATTTTAAAAATAAAAACTGTTTTTATGAATTTGGATTTTAAAATTAATTATTCCTTCAGTAATAAATTTACCGAAGCTTTTGATTTGAAACATTTTACAAAACAATTTTTATGTTTACTTTGTCAGTTTAAATATAAAAAAAAAGTTAAAGAAATTCAAGAAAAATTATTGTTTAATATATTTATGCAAAAAAAAGGCTACACAATAACACAAAAATTGCTTACACACATAAACAAGGGCAACTTTCAATTCACAGTTAGTGGAAAAGAGATGGCTCTAATGTTTGTGGGGGTTGCAAAGCTTTAACGGTAACAGAATTATGTAGTCTCTTTATTTTTGTGGTTGTTGTTGTTGCGTGACCTTGAAGTTTGACTATAGGGGAGTTTCGATACACGCTGATATCGCTTTCTCTGTCACACCCACGCCCATTGACAAAAATTTGCTAATTCCAAGACGCAGTACCGTTGTATACAGATGCGGTACTAATACTAGCTCTGACGATGCGAAAATGTCTTAGTCTTTTTACATTTTGAAATAATAGGTCGTAATTTTGATTTTACGAACTTTTTAAAATTGTCTCCACATTTTTATAGTTTTTTTTATGTAAAAATGTAATATATAAATATCAAACCTTAAATCAAATAGCTTACCCTTCAAAAGTAAACGGTTGAAATCAAGGAAATATTGGTCCAAATTCAAAATTCTATATTTTTTTAACAGTAAGTGTATATTGACTCTTTTTCTATTGTAACTATATTACTTCGAATTATTATTCAATTAGTTGTGTGAGCTTAAAACAACGAGATAAATTACATGCAGGCCAACTAGCTTATTTTATTTTTAGTTTATAACACGCCACATACAAAGGAATCTTAATAACAAAACAAAACAATAGGAACTTTTAAAGAAGAGGTGACTTTGAGGGGGGATGTCGGCTACGTGCCAAAAATTGTGTGTATTTGCCATGAATTCCACAAACGCGATGCACAATAACAAACAAGACCTTCGAAAGCATTCCAGCTCAAAGGCAAAACAAGTAAATTAAACCCCATCAAACAAGGAAATCGAACCCTCTGAAAAGTTCTTACCTCTATAAGTCTTGTCTTCTTTTTATTTTCCTTATAGTCTAGTTCAATAAATGCACCAACAACCATGACTTAAAATTATACATACAAAAAATTCATATATTTTATTTAAATAAATTGAAATACTGAAATTCTACGATTTCCCAAAAAATCCATTCGGATCTGTTTAGCTGGTGTCAAAAACTGTCTAGAGTGTTTCATTACCATTTTTTACAAACATTTTTTTTATAGAAAGACTATTTTATATTGTTCTTTAAATATACATTTTTCTCTACTGAAATAAATTCTATATTCAACGTCTTTAACATTTTAATTGGACGATTTTCCCATTTTCTTGCTGCACTCTACAGATAAAAAGGACGCACCTGGTGTCATAGTACAAAATCCAAACTTCCGAGAAATCCTTGCTGTGCATTCCAAGGGAGAAAACGAGGGACGTGTTGTAGAGAGTGAGACATCGCCAGTATGGAAGTGGAATCGAATAACAAACGCGCCACCAACGGCGGCCGGCACTCACCGCCGGCGGAAACCGATTCCAAGGAGAGTTCCGTGGAGCGGGAGCTGAACGGTGAGATTCAGGCGGTAGAGTTGAATGGAAGTGGAGCCCACTCGAACGGGCATATAAAGAAGCCGCTGCCCGTGGAGGATGGCAGGATTAAGCGAAAGGCCAAGCGGCTCATCCAAAGACAGAATAGCGGTTCCGGCGGCAGTCCCAATCAAACCAATGGCAATGGAGCCGTTTCCGTAGCTGGTGGCACTGCATTACCGCTGGCAGTCAACGGCATCCTGCCTTCGCCCGGCGGCTATGTGGTCCCCCATCGCCGCTGGAAGAATAGTCGGCGATCGAGGAACCTTAATCGTGGCCGGGGACTACCAAAAAAGGGAGGAGCCGGAGGCAAGGGCGTCTGGGGATTGCCCGGTTCCGAGGCTCTGGCAGAGGTCTATGAGGATGAAAATGATCCCAATTACGACAGCGAATGCAACGATCGGAATGTGGAGCTGCGCGAGGTGATTACGGAGATTACACCCGAGGAGTTCTTCAAGCTGGCGGAGCCTATTGTCTTGGAGTACTATGAGCATGGGGATCCGCACGAGGTGGCCGTGAGTTTCGATGAGATACTGCAGGGTCCGTTGCGGGAGCATATAACCAGCATTCTCGTGGAGATCGCCATGGATCACAAGGACTCGCAGCGGGAGATGACCTCGGTGCTGATCTCCGATTTGTACGGCAGGGTAATTACCGGCAAGGATATTGAAAAGGGCTTCAACATGCTGTTGGCCAATCTGCCGGATCTCATCCTGGACACTCCAGAGGCGCCCATTATGCTGGGCAACTTTATGGCCCGCGCCGTGGCCGATGACTGCATTCCACCCAAGTTTGTGGCCAAGGCGGAGGAGGAGCTAAGGATTCTGGAGCTCGGTGAACACGCCGAACAGGCCCTACGCCGTGCGGACTCGCTGCTCCACAAGCAGATTTGGGCCCATTTAGACAATGTGTGGGGAATGGGCGGTCCACTGCGTCCGGTGAAGACGATCACCAAGCAGATGGAGCTGCTGCTCAAGGAGTACATATCCTCCCGGGACGTCTCCGAGGCGCAGCGCTGTCTGCGAGCCCTCGAGGTGCCACACTATCATCACGAGCTCGTCTACGAAGCGATTGTGATGACACTGGAGTCCCTCAGCCAGACCACCGAGGAGTCCATGTGCGAGCTGCTTAAGCAGCTAGATCTCACCTGCCTGGTGCTTCCCGCGGGCATGGAGCAGGTATGTTAATCCTGAAAATGTGGCTTTCAAACTGTTTAATTTCACATTATACATTGAGCGCAGCTGTTGAATAACTTAGTGTATATCTATATAAAGGGATTTATTTAAATTTTCCATATTTAAATAGTTAATTGCCTTAGATTTCTAAAAAGTATAATGAAAGTTGTACAATATTAAATGATAAACATAATCCTTAAATCCATTAATTTTTTAATCCGTTCTTGATAGGGTTTCATGCGCGTCTTTGATGACATGGCGGATATCGTTCTGGATGTTCCCCTGGCCTATATAATACTCGATCGCTTTGTTGAACGCTGCAATCGCGCCGGATTTCTTACCGACAAGATTATAAACAATGTGCCATCGCGGTAAGTTTTGAATATGTGCAGTTTGAAATCAGGAATACATATCTTTTAGGAGGTCTTAAACTTATTAGCTAGAACAGAAAACGGATAGATACTTAAAGATACTTATAGATACATACAGATACTTAACAATAGATAACTTTGATATCTTTTGAAATATAATTTGAGTCTATTAGAATCAGATGACTATATCCTTTTGTTTACAATTGTGTAGATAATGTTTCTTCTTATTTCCACATTCGACTTATACACATATGTGGCCTTTTAATGTTTTTGTTGCCTTAAGAAATATCAATTGATAAGACTTTAGAAAATGAAACGATAGCCCACCTGTTTATGGAAATATTAATACATCGGCACATACAAGAAAACATACTCAGTTAGCAATGAGAGCGAGACGTGTTTACGTAATCTTAGCAGCCATAAAGACAACACGCCCCCAAAGTGGTGCCCCCTATAAAGAAGGTTTATACATTGTTGTTTACAATTAAATGCATGTACATATGTATACTCTCCATATGAAACAGGGCCTATCGATTAGATCGTCAACTATTAAATGGTATTGGTTAATTGTTCATAACAACTCGCTGTTTAATTTGATAACGAAATTAACTGAATGTCGATTATTGAATGATTTTGTTGTTTGCTTATTCTATTTTTGGCGAAGGGTATATCTAAGATTTATGGAGGTTGTTTGTTTGCTCTAATTTGTGCCTATGAGTGCAAACACATGACGGCGAAATAATATATCATATATAGAAATTATGGATGCATTGTTAAGTATAAGTTATGCTTGAAAACTCATTTGGTATCTGCCACCGTAATATCCTTTTTTAAAACAGTTGAATGAAGATCATTCGTATTATGATTTTTTTTTCAATGAATATTTTTTTGAAAAAAATAAAATCATGTTTTCATAAAGTAGATACATAAATATATTTAGATGTAAATAATGCATATATTCTATAATTTTTGCCGCTGCTGTGCTTAGATATGTATGAATTGTTGTACTTTTTTTTTTGCCGGCTTCGACTTGTTTATTATTCTCCTATTTTTTGTTTTCCTCTTTTTTCTTTTTTTTTTGCTTTTGGCTCAGTTTCTTATATAGACGGATACATATAGACGTGTTTTGTTTGTGGCCAAAGTGTTTGTCTGTGCGAGCGTATATGTTTGTTTATGAAATTTCTATTGCGCAGTTTAGTTTCGCATTTTGGAATTAACTTGACGGACGACGCGTCATCCGTTGAGGCAGTCGCCGATTGTTGTTGGTTTTCTTTTTATTGTTTATATTGTTTTTCTTGTCGTTTCAGTTGTTGTTGTTGCGCCGGTTTATCAGGTGCCGGCTAGTTATATTTATTTTTATACCGAGTTCTTGCCTCTTCTTTGCGATCAGCTTCTTATTTTTCATTTGTACTTTCTGTTTCTTGGCTAGGGTATTTGTTTTTAAGTTGTTGATCAGAAATAATATTGGTGTTAACTGGTTTTTTGATATCCTATTATTGTAATAATTACATATATTATTGTATAATGTGGCTGATATCTCTAAAACGGTTAGATTTCAAGACTTACAATATATTTAAATGTTATTTTTTTACTGAAGATAATAATTTATTGAAAAACATTGGAGAAAGAAAATAGTAGATGGAAAATCTTTCAATTGGATGGCTGATTTTTTTTTTTTTTTTACTAAAAGGTCATTCACTCATCCACAGAAACAATCGAATCATTGGATTGTCCGTATTATAGAATTTCAGAAAAAAAGCACTTGTATATCCTAAAGCTAAATAAGTTGGTTGACTGATTTATTTTACTATTTAACAGTTAGGACGGTATTAAACACTTCGGCTTCTTTTCAGTTTTTGTCTTTTGTTTTGCAAAAGAAGTGGCTTTTATCGATATGATTTGTGATGGCTTTGAAGGGGGGATGTGGGCGGGCGTCTCTTATTGATTGCTTTTTATCGCGGCAAACTTTGCAATGCTGATTTGTTGTTGCTTGTTTAAATTTTTTTTATTATTGTAGTTTGTTGGTGCAACAACCTGCAAGTGGCTCAAGATCGTCTTGGGGTTTTGTTTGCTGTGGTTGGGTGCTAGTGTTTGTGCGAAGGTAAACATGGCGGCAAAGTTGCTGTTATCGACCTGCTTGCCACTCCCACTTTAGTTGCTATCTTTGTTGCTGTTGCCTATGTTGTTGCTTCTGCTACTATAACTGCATTTGCATTTTGCATTCGCCTTGACTGCGGCTATTGCACTTTGCCACTTTTAGCGGAGGAACAACAACGTAACGCGACAGCCACGACGACGACAACAACAACAACAGCAGCAACTGCAGCAGCTACAACAACAACAACAGCAACAACATCACATATTGCACTTACACACCAACAACAACGCCAACGCAACTGCAGCTGCAAAAAGCTTACAAATAAAAAAAAAAAAGCTGAACTCAATGCCAAGACACTCAGACACATAACGGTTGATGAGGCCGAGTGCTGACAAAAAGCATAGCTTATTCCTAGCTGACTTTGAAGGGGTTCTTTCAACACAATTAGATATTTAAAAAAGTTATCCATAAGATACATCTGTATCTAGATATATTTTGAAGTAAGATGCACGCATGATAGGATATAAAATGATATTGCTTCCATTTGTTAAAAGCTTATGGAGAAAAAATTTAACATTTTAAAATTACAGTTCAGTTTATTGGTTGTGATTTTGCAATAAAAAGATGGTAAAAGATTGGTTTAGTAATTTCTTTAAAGGTTTTTAAATTTAAAATATGAATTTGTAATAATGCATACAAAATTCTTTTTAAGCGCAAATTTCAATAATTTTTTTTTTGTATTTTGTTAGACTTGATAAAAAATTTTGAGAATATTAATTCTTAAGATGTAAATTGGCTAACCTGTCAGCACAGTCGTTCAGATAGCTTCGTTGGGGGCTCTGCACTATTATGATTTTTTTTTTTATCTGTGTATTTACTTGTGTTTGTGGTCGCCCGCTGCCGCAATTTTATTTGTATCTTTTTATACATTTATGTATTTATTTGTGCATTTTGTCCCCCACTTGGTCACATGTGTGAGTAAATATGTATGCATGTACATATATTTATAGAAGCAACAATTAAGGCTCCAGCTGGTTGGTATTTTTGTTAATTTTTAGGGAAATCCTTTGATTGGTCAGCAGCTCTCTGAAAAAAAAAAACTAGTTTTGATTTCTTCCCCCCTCTCAATTTTGTGCACCCGCTACTTTGCACAGCTGTTGTAGAGAGAGAGATTAAAAGAACTGAGAACCAGAGAGAAACCCCAAAGAGAGCGCGAAAAAGGGTCAACGGTTGAATGAACTTTTGTGCAAATTCGTTGTTGTTCTTGCTGTTTTTGTTGTTGCCAAATTTGCGCCAAGCATTTTGCAACTTGTTTTTTGTTTTTTCCTCTTTGTTTCCTTGTTCTTTGTTTTTGCAGCATTGCATTGCATTGCATAATTGTATAATTGCTAAGTGCGTACGGCAAAGCGAGAAATAGAGATTAAAATTGTGCAGTTGCATTTTAAATGGATTTAATTGTTTGTTGTTATCTCTTTGGGTTTCAGAGCAATATTTATATGTTCATATTTAAATCACTAATGTAAGAGGATTGATTAAAAACCAGTTGATATCGTATCCAATGGTGTTATCTTTGTGATCAGTTTTTAATAAATAATAATGAAAAATATGAATCTACTCTTCAGAAATTGTATTTAATGTGGATATAAGTACAACTTTTGATGTGGTTTTAAATTTCGTATTTTCAACAACTATTGAGTTATGAACAAATAATTTAATGACATCCAAATTCCGAAGTTTGGCCTGACAATATATGTAACTATCTTTACTTTGTTATCTAAAAGATAACATAACATCGATAGTAATTTCACTTTTTTGTTTACCAAGCTAGCCCATATTATTAACCTACTCTTATTGATTAACCAATTTCTGATCAATTGCCCCGATTTGTATATTTGCAGCGGACGCAAGCGTTTTGTTTCTGAGGGCGATGGCGGTCATGTGAAGCCGGCTACCTTGCCCATGCGCGATTAAATCGGGGTTACGGAGGCATTTTGTGTTTATATAACGACTCCACCCCAAGGACACCTAGAAGGGACAACAGTAAAACAAAACAAAAACACCAAATTATTAAAAGGAGAAAATCCACAGGAATGCAAAGAATACAAAAAATGGATAAGAAAAAAGACGAAAAGAAGAATTTGTCGCAAATCTTGATAAAAATGAACCTATCCTCAAGCCCTGAAACGGTCACACACACACAAAACAACAAACAATCAATCGGAATTTGATCTCCGTTTAAACTATATTCATAATTATAAAATTTACATAAACACCTACAACGTATATCTTACCTACATGTAACTAAAAACGTAAAGCGGAAGTATATTTTAAAGATTTGTAAAAACGAAATGAGTGAAAAAGATCACAAAAAAAGAGAATCCAGCCAGAGAAATGGAGAAATGAGAATAATGGGGAGTTGTGGGTTTTCTTTCCGTTAGGATCGATCGCATATGATAAAAGATGGAACAGAACAGCAGCGTACTTAGCACGCTGTCATTATGCCACTTTAAAGCAAAGCATATTACTTATACGAAACTGTTATACACACTCGTACACCCCAAAAAAAATCGGTTGAAAAGTTGTATCAAAATTATGTTTAAACTACCACTGTTATACAGCCAAGACAACACACAAATTCCATTGATTTGAAATTCAGTAAGCCAATTTGGTTACTCACTCCCCCAGCGCATTGTCATGATGTATTTCCTTAATTTTTGTAACCTTGTGTGTTAGACAACTAACATAATTAAGCTTAATTTTACATATTACATACATTTACCTACGGTTCACATTTTTCTCGCTTGCTCTTTTTTTTGATTAAATAAACGTTGCATTTTATAATATAAGAAAAAGACTTTTGCTTTCGCCCATTTATATTTTTAATTGTTTACACTTCATGAAGAAACAAAATTCGACATTCTTACACATACGCCCACACATCTATATATTAAATATATATATATACATATATATATATAAACTATTGTGTTAAAAGCAGAAAATATACATAAAAATAAAATTTAAAACAAAAATGGCTGTGTCTTTAATAATATTAATTTCGGAGGTATTCCATGTGGGTTTTTCGATACATGTTAATTGGTTCAAAAACAAGAAATTAAAAAGTTTTTAATACAATTACTATAAAATAATTCAGAGGGTCTTTTTAATAGGTTTTAAAAAATTGAATTGTCCGACATACAACCGAAAATTCCAAAAATTTTTTTTTTAATTTTATTAAGATTCAATTTATCTTTTTATTACCTTTTCATAATAAATATATACATTTTTATTTTTGCAAGTCTTGTAGTCTTGTACACTCATTTAAAGTTATAAATATAAAAGCTTTACAATATAAAGGAGGTATTGAAAAATATGGGCCATAATATGTTTGTTTGTTGTTCCTGTGTCACAGAAATCTCCAAAAACAAATACGTATAACTTTCGAGATGGTTAACCGGGTATTAATGTTTTTTTTAATGATGAGCGGAATTCAATTTTACATTGCATAGTAAAGAGATTTTTGAAACATGTGTGAGTAAGCTAGGAACATTTTATTACTTATTATGAATGCATATTTTCGAAACCCTCGAGAAATTCAGGAATAGCTTAGATTAAATTAAAAAAAAGGGTTGTCTTAAGAATTTCCAGCTTAATCTGCTACTGAGCCATCTGTTGGCTCCAGCTTGACGTCGGCGGATCAGGGTCGTCCCATGCCCACCACCGATGGTGACATGTGCACGGGTGGACCACCTGGCCCACTGCCCATTCCTCCGAGCAGGGCCACATGCTTTCGGTAGTTGGTGAACTGCTCCAGGTACTGCTTCACCGTGTCCATCGGCTCGAAGATGTCGTTGTGCTTGGCATGCAGCTGCTGCTGGCCCATCGCCGTCATTATCGTCTGCATTGCGAAGTAGGAAGGAAAGTCCTTGCCCACTGCAATGCCCAAGAATCCTTGCAGCACCTCGCGTATCATTTCCCAACAGTAGGCCAGAATCACACACGCTTTATACTCGATCTCGATAAGGATGCCCTGTAAACCATATAAAATCAAATTAAATTTAAGTTAAATGTAAAACCTTATAACTACAATAAAACGAAGTTTTTGGGAGATCCCTCGAGGAGTGGAGTATTACAAATAAGAAAATACCGGGAACTGCTCTTCTACAGTTCGGTATTACCTTGAAGTGCTCCATCATGGTGACAGATCCCAGCTTGATGACGAAATCGCCGTACTCGAAGCGGGCTCCACGGGACTCGATTTTGGTCTGCTTCTTGGATGTGAAGGTGTTGGTCATCTTGGACATGAGCAGGTCGAAGCTGTTGTCGGCGACGAGGGCCACCTGTTTGCCGGTTCCGTTGTCAATGATGGAGAACGTGGAGGCGGGATGTTCCGAGTTGTGCAGGACATGCACCGCACGTCCTGGTGATCCATTGTGCGGCTGTGGCGTCGAAATGTACGTTTCGCAGTCCACCAGAAATTGACCGGCATGGGTGGCACCGAGCGAAAGTAGACGTTTGCTTAGTTGATCGATAATGTGCGCCCCCGATTTTCCCTCGGGCAAAGGATACGGTTGAAGGACAGTCACACCCATACTTTCTATTCTATTTTAGCAAATTATGCGGTTCGAAATTGTTGTGTTTTGTTTACTTTTGCAAATTGTGGTTGGCCAGTGTGACCGTTGACTGCGTCGCATGAAAATACCAAAAAGGCTGCAAATAGTTGTTTTAATTTAAATTAATGAAATTTATAAAATATAAAAATGCAATAAAAAGGCAATGCTTAAATTGGTCTTAAAATACATAAAGAGATATTGAAGGAACGATTGCTAGAATATCTTAAACAAATCAAAAAGTTGATGACAACATCATTAGAAAACACTAAAATGTATAAAAAGTTTTTACGGATATTTCAAAGATATGAGGTTACTTATTTTAAAACGAAATTGTCAGGAAATTTCTATAAAGAAATTTTTAAAATAAAATCAATGTATAACAAATTATTAATCAGCTTTTTACAAACCATATGAAGTTTTCAGAAATTTTAAGAAAGTTGCCAGATCTTTCGACTTTTTGCCAGTGTGTCCCCACCTGGCCCAGTGATATTTAGCATTAACCAGTTTACCAAATACGGTAACACTGCATTCTTCTGTTTTGTTGTTGCTATTTTGATAATTTATTAAATTTTGCACAAAGTACGCGCCAATTGGACGCCTTTTGGACCATTCCGCCGGGCATTTCTGACATCAGCAGCAATTGGAGGTGGTTTTTTGCCGTGATTTATCCCGGAATCAAGTGCGCGTGTATATTTAGCCACCAGTTGTTGCCCACTTCGCATTTCCACGCCATCCAAATTGGTTGTTTATCGCGCGCGCCATTGGATTTATGAATATATCCAAATCGGAGTGATCAACTCCAATTTCTATCCACTAGGATGTCGCAGGAAAAGATAGGCGCCGATGGGGCCAGAATGTCTTCGGAACTAGCTGAGATACTCTCGGATTTATGCATCTGCATTCAGGGCAAACAGTCGCCCGAAGTTCACGGTGAGATTGGGGGAATTGGGGCTTACTCATTGATTGTGCACAAAGAAATATCACTTCTCTTTAGTCCTGAGGTTCTCCTGTATGATAGTTCTAGTCCAGATAACCCACAGTCTCCAAGGATATGGGAAAGACCAGAAATGGTCCATTTAAGATTGTATTTGCTATAGCAGAGTCTGTGTGAGTGCATCTTATTCCGGTATCTAACATAATAAACCTCATGTCTTTTTAAAAAGATTTTCACAATTGATGGAATTTTATCTACATTTAACAAGCGCATAAAAGGCTTAAAAAAAAAGATAATATCTTAAATATTTTATTTCTTTATATATTCTACTATTAGTTCTTGAAAGTCTTTTTTGGGTTATATAAAATTGCATATTTTAGGACCTTGCCATAAATTTTTAGCAAATTCATTAATTAATGCTGCTGCAACTCTGAAAGCTCCTAAAACAATTGTTTGTTTGGGAAAGATATTTTATAAGTAGTACATTTTTGGTTCCTTGTGTGTCTTAATTTGGGGTTTCATATTAGATGTACCTATGCAGAAGATGCAGGAAAACCCAAAAATAAAAAATTAAGTAAAACTTTGAAGGAAACAAAATAATTATTATTTATGGTGTTAATGTATATTTTTTATCCATAGAACTCGCCTTGGCCCGTGCTGCTCAGTGTCTAGCTGCAAATCCTGGTAACTTCTGCAATTCGATAGCTTTAACCGAACGCGAATGTGTCCAAAAGATAATGAAACTCCTGAATGCCAGGGAGGATGTGGATGGTACGAATGCAGCGAGCATGTTCTACGCAATTTACAGGAAGTTTCTGCTGATAAGGGTCGATCCCTACTTGAGGCACTCACTGATGAGCTATCTGCTTTCGATGGCTGATAAATCCGTGGATTTTTCGTCTGAAAACGGAGACGGATCTTCTCTCACCAGTGCGTCGGATAATCTCCGTCAGGTTTTGAGCAGTCGACTGAACTCCGGCACGTTTCGCAGCTCAACGAATGGATCTTCGCTCGCATATACAGCCAACCAGAATGGCAATGGAGTGGCCAAGGGAGGCGTGTACAGCTACGATGCCACACAATCCAGCATAGGATTGGGCCAACAGCCCTTGCCCAACTACTTGAGCACAATCGAAGCACAAAAGAATCCCGAAGTCCGGCAGGATATAGTTACGAATGCCATATACTCCTTCACCGGCGTCCAGGGGAAATACCTGAAGAAGGACGTGGTCTCGGGACGTTTTAAGCTGGATCCGATGAACATCAAGGCTCTGACCACCGGCCAAGCGGGCATGTTGCTCCGGCTTTCCGAACTTGGCTATTACCACGATCGCGTGGCCAAGTTCGCGGACGTGTCCACAGGCTTTAATGCCATGGGCTGCATGGGTCAGGCCCTGATATCGAAGCTCAAGGAGGAGCTGACCGACTATCACGGCCAGGTCTCCATCCTCCACGACGAAATGAATCGCTATCGCAGGGCCCAGCTGAGTAGGAATGCGGGCAAGACAGGCGAGCTGGGTGGTGGCACTGAACTGACGCTATTCAAGCTGCTCGCCTGGTACATAAAGCCATTGCATCGACTGCAGTGGCTCACTAAGATCGCCGACGCCTGCCAGATGAAGAAGGGCGGCGATTTGGCATCGACCGTGTACGATTTCCTGGATAACGGAAATTCGATGGTCAATGAATTGGTCGTACAGCTGCTGACCTCTATTTGTGGCCCGCTGGTGCGGATGATCTCCAAGTGGATGCTAGAGGGCGACATTGCCGATTTGTACGGCGAGTTTTTTGTGGAGTCCCTCAGCGAAGTGGGTGCGGACAGGCTATGGCACGATAAATTCCGCCTGCGGATGTCCATGCTGCCCAAGTTTATGCCCCTAGATCTGGCTGATAAGATTCTAAAGACAGGCAAATGCATTAACTTTCTGAGAGAAATCTGCGAGATGCAGGAACTCGTTAAAAGTCGCGACCAACTCAAGAAGACCATGGACAATAATGGTAGCTCTCTTTCTAATTAAGCTTAACTTTCACATCTAAATTTTATTCTCTTTTTTTATAGTTTCCCACATATTTTCGTACGTGCCGGACACTAGTTGGCACGCGGCTGTGGAAACGTCCTACCAGCAGACCTCCAAACATGTCCTCGACATCATGATCGGTCCCCACAAGCTTCTGAATCACCTGCAAGGAATGCGTCGCTATTTGCTGCTGGGCCAGGGCGACTTTGTCAGCATTCTCATCGAAAATATGAAGTGGGTTTTATGGCATTCAATTAAATAACCAATATCAATTATGGTACTTGTAATCCACCTTGCAGGGAAGAACTGGAGCGCAAGGGCGTAGATATATATGCCCACGATCTCTCGGGCATGTTGGATGCTGCTTTGCGCTGCACAAATGCCCAGTATGATGACCCGGATATACTCAACCACCTCGATGTGGTGGTGCAACGGCCGTTCCCCGGGGATAACGGCTGGGACATCATCTCGCTGCGGTACATCGTCCATGGACCCCTGGCCACCATGCTGGAGCCCACTATGCCCGTGTACAAGGCGCTCTTCAAGCCCCTCTGGCGAATGAAGCACATGGAGTTCGTTCTCTCGATGAAGATATGGAAGGAGCAGATGGGCAATGCCAAGGTGAGTGTGCTAGCAATTTTGTTTCTTATCTGCGTCTCTCGAGTGCATGCACATATTTAGATAGGCGTGTGTCACTCAGATTGCACTTGGTCAAAAGTAGACTTTGAATTTCAGTGCTTTTTGCTATTCATATTGATTAAACTAATAGTATTTAAATTGTCTTTTGTTGGCAGTACCCTCCAGCGTATAAAGTATATGTTTTGCTGTAATTAGTAAAAAAAAAAGCCAAAAATTTGATTCGAATTCGATCATAAATATTATTTAAGGTCTATGACACTCTAATTACTAACCTAAATAACCTTAAATAATGCTTATCTACCTTGAAAATACAATATTGCTGATTTGGTTGTTATTCGGAAATTAGGATTCAAAGAAATCAATCATTTATAGAAGAAAAAAACGGATTTTTGTGTTGAAAGGCAGTCGAAGTTCGAAAGGTTTCAGTCAAGAAATCGCCTAGATAAGATTGCCCTTATATAATCTAATCCGTTGCGATTACCCACTTACCGATAAACCATCCATAGTATCAAAGTGCACAAGAATTTTTCGTTTTCGCCTTATGTATTATTTTCTAGTTTTGTAGACGATTTCCCGTACAAAAATAACATTAATTATGTGGTGAAACAAAAACACGAATACAGGTTACAAATTACACACGATAAAAAAAAAGAACACACACTGTTGTTGGTGAGGAATGTGCAGGCTTGGCTGGTGATCCTTTTACAACTTGGCGTCGGTCTTCAGGAGCGGCGCCAGTTTCTGGGTTAGCATGATGTTGCCGGCAATCTTCAGCTTTCCCTTCATGAAGGCAGCCTGGGGATTCAGCTTGCCGAGGGCGATATCGACCATGTCCTCGTCGGCGACCGTCAAAGTGGTGTCCACCTTAATGCCCTGAGCGGGTCCCTCATAGGCCTTGGCGTTCTTGCAGTCCAGAGCTGGGGAATATTGGTAATATAAATAACATTGTTTATTGACTTTTAAGAGGGTCAAAGGGCATGAGGTGGTGGCTAAAACTAATTTTGGTATTTGGTATTGCTATGATGTTAAAATGATTTCCTCAAAAACTTAATAAGAAAATCTCAGTAGTTGTAGTTCAGGTTAGAATACTGTTCATGGATAACAATTCAAGTTTTTTTGAGGCATCCACAAGATAGTAGGTATCTTAAATCCAAAGTAGCTGTTTAAATTTTGAATTTGGTAATGCATGTGCCGCAACAAGTTTTATATATTGAAGACCTTCCAGATCCCTAATCGAACAAATGTGCAATTCAGTGCTGGTGCCGAAGTACAAACACTGTGCACTTTGAACTGTAGCTACTAGAATATGCAAAAAAAACAACACGCGAAGACCACGTACTCCCGGCGGCAGGGGCGTAACTAGGGGGATTGTCAACATCGCTTGCCCCTTACAAAAAAATGGTATTCTATCAACACACAATCATTACAACTTCAACCAGAGCAGCCCCCTCCTGACTTTCCACCTCAATTCCGCCCCTATATTGCAGAGGGTGTGTCTATTTAACGGGGGGCGGGGCGGGGGAGCAATTAGCGATGGGTACTTACTCCACTCCTTGGCCACCTTGCCGTCCTTGGTGATTTTGTACAGGAACACTCCGTTGACCGCCTTTGCCTTGGCCTCATTCTCCTTCAGCCCATCGATGATCTTCTGGAAAACGGCGTCCGACTGCAGAGACATGGTTGTTGTGTGTGTTTTCTGTTTTTTTATTTTTCCGGAAAAAGAAAAGAAAAATCAGAGCTTTGTTCGCTTATGCGCTGTGAAAAATGCTTACGCTTTGAGCGGAGAACGCGAAATAATGAGCAGGCAGCGTGCAATCACCGATTTTATTGTCGCTTTTTCACTTCACTCCCCCTGCCGCGAACAAGCGAGATGGCAATACAGAGTGGCGCCGGTCAGCTACGCCGCACTCACTCGCACTCATCCTTTTCACATATGGTGTTGGAGTACTTGTTCTCTTGCGCTCTCGTAAAACTGGTAGCCAGCTGTTGCACAGTGGGGCCACCCCAACAAAATTGGGTCTAGAAGAACGAAAAAAATTTGTATATGAATTAAAATGTAAATTTATTCCGCTTATCTACCCCAAAATTAAATCTCATATGTAGTTCTCTTTCCTAATTAGTATTTGAAACCGAAATGAAGCTATACATAGGTAAATACACTATATTATCCCACGACTATTAAATAGATAATACCGCAAACCTTAAAAAAAACATTTTTGACAATATTGGCTACAGACCACAGTACCAGTTGTGGAGCTTAGACTTTAACATTAACATAGGACGCTTAACATGGACCTTTAACAGCGGTTATCAGCTGTTGTCCATGGCTGTTACCACGCTCCTTGGTCCAAGTTTTAGTACAAAGTGCGCACTCAGTTTGAAATGCCCATAAAACGGCGATAAGACTTGAAGAGTCTTCAGATTATGAAGAAATATGTCACCTCACGAGCTCATTCAAGAAATATTATTAACCCTAATTTTACCTTTGATAATTTTCATAACTCATATGTATGCAAATTAACTTTCTCCTTAGTGATTCGGTTAAAAAAATTTATTTTTATTTAATTAACTTCACTTATCACTAACATTTCATAGGTTGCACTTAAAATAGTTCACTGCTCCGATCTTATACTTAATTCACTTATATTGGTCTTTTTCTTTCGGATATCAAAAACGGACTGCCGCACTTGGGCTGAAAGATTAATAATCAAACCTCGGCTTAAGAGATTTTATCTTCAAAAATTGATTAAGAGATTGACTCAAGAGAGTCGGAAAAATAGGATGATGAAATTTGGCAATTAAATCTGAAATCGAGATTCTGCCGGAAATCGGTGTTTACATTATCGAGCTTCGAGGGTCGCTTTGGGTCTCCGATGTTTAGAATATCGGCTGAGGATGTTTACAGAATCCGTTTAATGCGGAGTGTGAAATGATATGGGTGGGAACCAGTCGAAGGCGTAGTTGAATGAAATAGCTGACTACGGGTTTATCTTGGAGTCAAATCTGAATTATTTGGAAATTGGGCTGGGCTCAAAGTTGTTTATAAATCGGGTAAGTGGCCCTAAGTAATGTGCTATATAACTCCCCCATCCTAAATTGAATCGTCCCGATTCATTGGAATTGAAGGGTATATTGACTGTAATTGATTAGTCAGTTCGACAATGATATTTTCTTCTAGGGTGTTTTCATTGTCGGGAATATTGGTATTTTCATTTTCGGGTATAATATTTTCTTCATTAATTTCTACATGGGTTTGCCGTGGTTTGAATATTAAAAAATTTCTGTATTTAATTATAAGCATAATCATTAAATATATAAATGTAAGTATTACCAATATTAACGAAATTGGTATTTGGGTTTGTTTGATTTGAATAAAAGGATTTAGTATGTTAATATTATCGAATGAAAGTTCCGAATTATTTGACATTATATATTCGGTTACTAAAAAATTGGTATGTTTACGAGCAGTGATGTATTCCAATATCTTATTTTCTACATTAGTGTAGGTTACATTATTAATTATAGAAGTGCCATTAAAAGTTACTAAATACGACCCTTCTAAATGGGTGTTATTGATTACATTTTTTCCGTTTACAAAAATGGCTCCTTCTTGGATTACATCTACATTTTTATTTTTTTCTCTGATTTTTTTACATTTTGTTTTTTCTCCATTTAATAAATTTGTAAAACACGATCCTTCTGGATTTATTGTGCAGTAATTATTAAACAATTCTTTCTTAAAATTAGACATTACATAATACTTGTTTTTACATTTTGCGACGTGATTGTCGATTAATAATTTTCCATCTTTATGTGAAATTGATCTTGAATTGTATACTTCGCAACGATCGGTAATAATGGGGTATTTTATGTATATAATAAAAAGTTCTTGGTGCAAAGCAATTTTAAATTCAGATATATCCAATAGGTCAGTTATAATTACAGGCTTTTGTTCATGTTTATAAATTTCTTGTAGGTCCTCATTGTTTAAAATTTTGGTGTTAAAAACATCAATTTTTGCAAGTGTAATTGTATCCATTAAATTTGTAAGATCGTAAGTAAGCAAACGTAAACGATATTTTCTAAGTGGATTTTCTTGATTTTTAAATGCAGATTTGAAATCATCAGATAACGTTTTTATTTCTTTAAATAATTTAGAGTTAATAACGAATTGATCGTTGTTATTTTGTATTAAATCATCAATTTTATTCTGAACAGCTATGAAATCATCATGATCTGGAGTGCCAGCTAACCATTTCCAAATAGTGCCTAATTCATTAATTCCTCGCTTTGATCTATTGGGTATAATTTGTGCGATAAGTATTTTAATTATTTTTAAATCCTGTGCTATTTCCCAATGTAAATTCTGGTCAGTTTTTATAAATTCAGATTCAAGATTAATTATTTCTTTATAAAAACTTATATTAGTAATATGAAATAAATCCGCGTATGATTCATAAATAAGAGCATCTTTGGTATCCTTGTAAAGGAAGAAATCATGGTTTGTATAATCCATAATTTCGGCTTTGGATATAGCCACCATCAATAATAAGAATGTTAATGATATCATTATCTGGAATTTGAAATTAAATATTTTTTATTTAGCATTTAATATTGTCTTTATGAATCGTACGGTTTCGATTATTAATAATAACCTTATTAGGATGATTCTCCTTTACTACTTGTTTTTTGTATCTTGAATTAAGTTTGTTTCTTTCCCCGTGTTTTTTTTCAAAAATTACCTCACCTACGTGATAGTTTTTCCCTCGTTTATTTTTATTGTGAAAATCTAACATTTTTTCCTGAGCTTGTTTAAGCAGTTGGGGAGTTGTATCATGCTTAATTTTATTAAATAATATGTCATATGGTCTTTGATTAGTAATTGAGTGTATGGTTAAATTATATTTTTGTGCTGCTCTAATAATAATTTCTGAATAATCGACTAAATTAAGCTCGTCTTTAATGCAACGGGCAATTTCTGT